CGTTTACTTCAACTAAAACGTATACAAAATTCCTACAAACATAAAATTCACAAAATAACTATTATTTAATTAAAATATAATTAAATTCAAAACACTACTTAAAATATACAACATATAGCACATACATTAAATTATACATACATAAATACCCATTTCGAATTCACTTTAGTTACGGCTATGGGATCCAAAAATTCGAAACACTGTTTCACACAACACAGAATAAAGCCAAATACAAAATTTCCCGATTTTTTCCCGATTTCCCCCCTTTTCCGATTAAAGAACCGTAATTCGTCCATTAAATATCACATGACATATATCCCATGATCTCTCATTTCCCTCACACAAAATAATGCGTAATCGGAACTGAGTACTGCTCACATTATTACCAAAGTGCCAGGTAGTAACCTTTATCGCCTCTAAAATGTCGCCAAACTACCAGTTACCATATTGTAAAGATCAACCAAATCAAAAATTACCCCCTTAAAGCTATTAAAAAATAAACAACATAAAAAAACTGCTTAAAATGTAAAATTGTATCTAAAACTAAAAAAAACTCATTGGCGTAACAGCCCTAATGGACCAAGACCTGCAGTGCCCGAAATCTACTTTCTTGATTGTGGGTCCTGGGGTGCATAAGCATATACCCTGAACAAGTGTGTCAAGATTGTATCTAGTATACTGAAATACTTTACATAAAAAAATCTCTGCTTCATCATTAGGGAAAAAAGTCTGATATGGATACCACATGACTTCCTTGTACAGCCTATTAAATTATACACATTTTTGATGCACTTCTTTTAAACTTATTTCCTTGAATTATTGAAACTTAATTAACAGATTTGTCAAGACAAGTTGGAAATGACATCAAAAAGTGCAAACTTTGAAATTAAATAGCTTGGTCAATTTTTGTTGTACAGGGTACAAACTTCATCCAAATTTATTTTTTCACAACAAGTATAAAACTTTCCCAGATATAAGTATAGGAAACCAGAGAACACATTAAAAGTTAGATTTTGTTATTTGTCAAAAACTAATTTTTTAAAAATTTTATATTCAACATTCTCCTGCATTCAATGTGTTTTTGTCTGCACAGGTAGATATATTGAAAATTTGTAATTCCAATAAAAGTTCCCCCCATCTATCCATTATTGTCATGGGTCCCTTATAATGCTGTTCTTTGCAGATGTTTTATGCTGGCAATTTTTGTCATACATGTTTTGTTCCAGCACCATTTATACTTTTTCAATATGCTGATCAATTTCAGCCATAAAAAAGTGGGTGTGGCCATTCGAAAATTTTTAAATGTTTTCACTTTAACCGTAACAATGAGCACTGTATTGTTTTAAATCATCACAATCTCGAGTGCATACCTTCAAATAACAATATTTGAATTTTTATTTCAGTTGGTTTAGCGGATAAAATTTCATATATCGAAAGTATTTTTATGACCACCATGTATGCATATACTATATAGATGTAGTATTGGAGATATTTTAAACAAAAAGATTGTAAAATTATTTTTGTGCAAAATGCTGCTGAAATATTAATTAGTTAAAGACAAAAAGAGTAAATAATTTTGAACCAACCTATTTTAGGAGACTTGAAATAAAAGAAGTAAATTTAATCATTTGACTACAAATTTGGGGGGGGGGAACCCTCTTTTTCTATCCAAGTGAACAAAATATGTCATAAATAAGGTAAATTTAGCATTTGAGATTTACCATAAGCACACGTATTATTCTGTAAAACTTTATTATATGAAATACATTTTACATCATATGTTACAGGGTAAAGTATTTTTTGCATAACTTAACATTACACATTGGAGAACTCATATTTGTTTTCTCTATGTTCATTTGTGTACAACGAGCACAGCGGTATCTTGATTTTCCAACTTTTGGAAGATGACCTCCAACATTCAGGAGATTCTAAATACTTTTTAACCCAGCAGTAATTTTTAAACTTTTAATGAAAGGGTTAAAATTGGTTTGAAATTTAGAATTAAAAATTATCAGTTTTTATAAATGGAAAATATAAAACTCAGTTTTAAATTAGAAAAAACAAAAGAAATACTTAAAAAAATGGAAAAGAGTATGGTAAAAATCTGATTCAACTTGTCAAGAGGAGTAGATCAGACTTCAGTTGAATCTGGTTTAAAATCATTGTGTTTCTGTTCACTCAAAATTATCTAATGAACATTTAATTTATTGCTTTTGTTCATCTTAAAATTTCTAATGCTTCCTCTACACAGTTGCTTTTCCTTTCAAATTCAATAATGAAAAAAAATAAAATAAAATTTACCCAAAAAATGCACATTAAAACAAAGTACATTTGTGTTTCCAAAGTTAAGCTATAATGTTAAAAAATATACAGTTTACTAACACAAAAATTAAAATTAAAAAAAAAAAAAATACAAAATCTAGAGCTTTTTAAAAGCATGCCCTATATTACTAAAGATAATTATTAACTGAGAGCAAGTATTTTATTGAAGCAAGAATAAAAGAGAAAGTTATATGTGATAAGAAGTGCCATAAAAGAATTTGAAAAGAGGTGAGATAGAGATGATTAGGGTTACTTAGGGTTACCTTTTGGTGCTATTTGGTGATAATTAACAACAACTGCAAGTCTTAAATCTCCCAGAAGGTGAATTCACAGTTATGATTTTTCTATCAGTCAAAATAGGAAAGCATTTGAGCAGTGCAAGCAAGAAAAAGAAATGAAGGATAAATTGTTAGCAAAGAATAAATTTTTCATACCATAGGATTATTAAGACAATTTAGAATAGAGTGAGCTCTCGGTTAATAAAAGCTAAGTCAAGAAATCAGTGTTGTATACTAAATATGTAAATACACTATAAAACCCTTTAAATACATCCTTTTTTATCCTTCTCTTATTTGAGCTATCAGATAAGAAATTCGTTACTTTAAAAGAATTCATAGGGTGTAGACCACTCCAGGTTCTTTTGGTTGATTATTAATGAAATTGAATTCTATGCATACTTTTTTAATTCTGACAATTTTCTAATTGTATTTGCAGTAACATTTTAGAGAGGTTAGTATTCCAATTAATAAATTTACTTGTTAAAAAATTGAATTCTCTTCTTTAATCGAAAAGCTTTACTTTTTTTAGGTTACAAATGCTTAGATCAAGGTAATTTACAACTAGCTGATTTTTTACTTGTTTCATTAAGCTTCAAACAGAGGTGGATGTTGTTTTTTCAATAAGATTATTATTGCTGAAGGCAATTATATCATGTATATGTCTGTAGGTGTGACCAAATTTATTGTAATAATTTGTTATAAGGTTTTGAAGAAATTTGTACTCTTTAAAAAATAAGTATAGGCTACATAAGCGGGTCGAGTAGGAACTTCCCATTGGAATTCTATTTGTTTGAAGGAAAAGAGTGTTTCCATGCTTTATATAGTTCTTAAATAGTGAGAAATAGAGATATTCTTTCAAATTTGAAAGTCTAGTATTTCAAGCATTTCAGGAAATATTTTTGGAAGTTCTAGGAAGTTTCATATATTTCTTCTAGTGGAAGAGATGTGTAGAGATTTTCAAAGTCATAGCAGTTGATATAGCAAACATTAAGATTTTTAATGTTTCTATTTGCAGATATTGTACATAATCCAACAGTAGTGTTTTTCAGCATTAGCTTTATCAAAAATTACATTACATATTGATATAAGTAGGGTTGTAAAAATATTGCCAAAATTCTTCTTGTAGTTTATAGTACTATTTCCGGTAAACCTAAACTTGATAGGATTTTTATGAAATTTTGCTAGAGTATATAAGTTGGCAAATCTATTGTTTGCAGTAAAAAGAGGGGACTTCAGTTTTTTTTTTTTTTTTTTTTTTTTTTTTTTGTGTGTGTGTGTGAAAAGCATTAAGTTTGTTGATTGTCAATCTTTCTTTATTTTGGGTAATACAATATATTGTTGTATTATGAAGCTCTTTGTCAATAAGAGAAAGATATAATTTTATTCATGCTGTACTGAGATTGTTGTTTGCCTTTTCTATTTTTGTAATTGTAAACTGTTTTTTCAATTGTGTACTCTTCTGATAAAAATCTTTTCAATTTTTTATTCCTTTAAAGCATTGAACTTTATTAATTTTGCTTTTATCCGATATTTCCTTTTTCCATCCTTTAAAAATATGAGTTGGCAAACTTAGTAGAGAACTTACTTTCATAATGAAATTGTCAACATCCGTTGAAATACTTTTGAAACAAATGAATATAGGAATGTATTTTACTGGCCTAAATTTTTATACCTTTTCTCATGAGTTGCTTTAATTCTTTCTCCTGTCTGTCTAGATTTCTTGTAATAATATGTTTATATTGCTCACCTACATATGGAAGAAATTTCTATTCATTGCAATATCAAGTTGCTGAAAAATCTTCTTCGTGGTGGTTGGTAACGTAACTGCTAAGTTTTTTTGTTGTGCATATAGCAGACTATTATTTTAAGATTCTATTGCTGGAAATTGTTGTTAAGCTTATTTAAAAATCTTATGCAAAGTTTTCTAAAAAATTATTTAATAATTTATTTTTCTTAAAATCTTTCTGTAATCCTAAAACGTTCAATTCATATTAAGTCAAATGTAAGTGCCTATAAATTTATTACTGTTATAAAAATTCTCCGAAACTTTGTTTAGCGGTAACTAAATTTTGCTGAAAAGAACAGGATAAGAATAACATTCTTGCCAAAAGTTGTATTATGCACCAAATAAGGTTTTAATCTGTAATTTTAAATTATTGACTTTAAGCAATGAATCTGTAGTTTTAAATTTTAAAATACTTGAAAATTGCATAGTTTACAAAAAAATTATCTAAACACTAACTGAGTCTTAATATGAGTAACAGTACAACCAAGTTTCAATTTCTTTTAATTAAAAATTACATTTGAGCCACATGTAAATATACTTCTGTAATAATATACTAAATATTAGATGTCCAAAATTTCACTATGTACTTACATATTCAATTTTATTTTAATCAGGTAGTCAACGCAGATTTGCTGAAATTACTGTAGTTTACCACTGCATGAATGATTTTGAAGAACTCAAGTCTCAAGGTAAAGCTTTGACAGAAGATGCTAAGGAAGATATTAAAGTATGTAATTACCGGTAAGTAAAAACGTTTTTCACGTAGATACATTTTTTTACATTCTATTCCATAATAGTGTATAAACTAAAATATTTTTTTATTTTGTATAATAATATTGCATTTAAATACTGCAAATTACTGCATACTATCATATTACTGTTAGGATTTGTAAAGTTCTCTTAAATAAACAAACCAAATGCAGAGGATAACATGATCCTTCATTCAGTGCAGTTTCATGGAATAATTATTTTTTGCAGTGTAAGATTATCAGCTAAAAATAGCTTACAGAGCAGCAAGATAATCCTAAAAATTCCCCTTAATGTGGAGGGAAGGGCATTTATTGCCAAATCAATCCTAAAATGCTGGGGCACTGCAACGAAATTCTACAAGTTGTAAACATATAATACTGCAAAAGTTATCATGGAGCAGGGCCTAAAAATCTAGGAATATTTAAACTAAATAGCTTATGAATCTAAGAAGACTAATTCATGATTTCTTCCTTCCTTCCTCGATGGCCTGACAGCCCAGGGTGAGCCCTGGCCTTCTCAAGAAGCTTTTTCGAGACAAATCTTCTCCTTCCTAGTGTTTTCCAGTTTTGTATTTTTAAAACCAGTAGGACATTTTCTAGGCAGTCTAACCATCTTAGATTTGGTCTGCCCTTTTTCTGTGTGCCTTTTGGTCTGGTATTAAACTTTTTTGCTGCACAGTCTTCATCCATAACATGCCCTGCCAATTTTATTCTTTCGCATTTAATGAAATAAATTATGTCAGGTTCATTATATGATCGATATAGCTCCAAATTTGATCTTCTAAGCCACACACCATCTTTTTGTATTTCTCCAAAAATATTTCTTAAAAACCTTCCTTTCAAAAATGCCCAACATGTCCTCATTCGTGTGCATCATGGTCCAAGTTTCACAGGCATATGTCAAAATTGGTTTTATAAGACTCTTATACAGTAAAACCTCTGTTTTCTTTGAATTACACTTGATTTCACATATTTTTATATTCCATTCAAGCATCTATTGGCTGCAGTAATTCTCTTTTATATTTCTATAATAATATTGTTCCTCTTGTTAATTTCAGAGCCTACAGTTTCAAATTTATGTTCTCCAATTTGTGAGTGTCTTTGAAGTCTGTTTTAGTGCATGGCATATATTTTATTTTCATTAATTCTGAGACCCAGCTTGAGAACCTCCTTCTCTAGAGCCATAAAAGCCCGTTTTAGTGCTGTTGATGTTCTAACAATAATGTCAATGTCATCAGCAAAAGCCAATAACTGTACCAGTTTATTAAAGATGTTTTCTCTTGTTGATGTTTGAATCTCTTATTATTTTTTCTAATGCTAGATTGAAGAGAAGGCATGCCAACGCATCACCTCGTTGAACACCATTTTTAATTTCAATTTCAGTTGGCTTTGGTAGTTCATTCTGCATTTATACTATGATTTTAGTTTCATCTAGTGATTAGCTTCAATAATTTTTTATGTATTTTAAACTCCCTTAAGGCTGCGATGAGAGCTTTCCTATTAATACCATCATAGACAGGTTTGTGGTACAGCTATTATTTCTTTGTTCTGTCCTGTAATTCAGCACATCACAATTAAGTTCTGGAAACTTATTTTCTTCAGTATCAAATAAGTTCAACAGCAAACTATGTTTTGGTTAACAAACAACATTAATGTAAATAAATTTTAAAACTTCTAATTTAAATTTTGCCATGTAGCTACAGTTATTTTCTTTCACCACACTTCTGAAAATTCACTTAAAAGAATTTTTAAAGTATAAACATCATTAGCTTCATTCATACCAGTAGAATGAGGCTGAAACCATAGTCAATTAGGGAAAGTAAAGTTGTAGATGTGGGAATGTACAGCTGATTCAACGAAATCATTGACCGGATGCCAGTCCATGTTTGCTTCTGTGTGGTTGACCATATCTCCTACCAAGTTGGCATAAATTTCAGCAGTTAGAATATTTACATAAAATCATTTTCCATGTTGTAGCAAGGTCTGGCTACTTGAGCAATCAGTTTGGCTAATTCCACTTTTACCTCGGAAAACCCTCGTGAGAATGCTGCATTTTTTTAACATGTTACTAATACTAGTAAGTAGAAAGAAGAAGGTTTGACGTGACTATCACAAGTAGTTAGTGGGGGTAGTTAATGAGATAAAAGCAACCACTACATGGACAAATTGGTTTTAAAATTTATGGGAATTTTCTTTCTGAATGCCTGGAGAAAGGGAAAAATTACATGAATATTTAAACAATTTCCAGCACTTAGTGATAAAGCTAGGAAGAAAATAACAGGAATGATATCCAAAGCAGCATTTCTCATCAAATTTATAATTGACTGTTTTGCTTTGGATGGTAATTGTGAATTTTGTTAGAAAAGCTATGAGATTCATTGTTTTAAACTAACCAAAACATATTAAATATTTTACTGGCTAGAAATCTTTTAATATATAATTTATCCATATATGGTAGATAACTCTTGAATATTATTTTTCTTTCAGGTTTATTAGAGAATACACAAAAGGTGTACAGAGTGACTGGATAATAAACAGACTTGGGCATTTTAAGCTGCGACATTTTGAGAACTGATTTTATTGCTAAACAGTGTATATGAATAGAATACTTTGCGACATTAGTAAATTATTTGTGTGTATTAAGTAAAAATTTTACATTAAAGATTTCTGTGCTCTGTACAAATGTATCTTTTTTTACTTATATTTTTATGTAATATATTATAGAAATTATCAGAATATTTTTTTTTTTTTTTTCTTTTTCTCAATTGTGGGCACTTGCCTATTACGGCATTGACCTCCTAAGGGCAGAAGTAGTGGTCATTTTATTGTGAAGGCACCCGAGAGGTGGCCACTGTTACCTCATATGAAGGGGCAGACAATTTTACATCCATGCTTTTCAGGATTCGAACCCAGTCCCTTCGGTTTCGCAGTCAGGCTCTTCTAACCACTATACCATCTGGGCAGCAATTATCAGAATGGGATATAAGAATAATGTAATTTTCTGTCCTGCCATAAATGATATTTAGAAACATAAAGCTTTGAATACTCGAATTGAATGTATCATCATATACTGAAAATTAATCTTTTTAGCAGCATAATATTCTGTTTCAGTTATGAAAAACCATGGGAGCTGAGGATTCCAAGCAGTATAATTTGGGATTTTACGATAGCCAGTGTTAAAAAAATTAATAGAAATAACATATACTTCCAGTAATACTTTGTTTAACAGGTGTTAGGCATTTAATTTTTTCAATATTTATTAAAGTATTTGAATGCATTAGAATGGCCAACTTTGGTGATTTTCTGCCATTTTGTTAACTTTATTGGCTAGTACATATACTTAGCTTTAGGAAACAAGTCTGCATTTGAAAAATTATTCTAAAATTATGGAAGATTTTAATGTCAACACCTTTTAAGGCTTTATTGAGAAGCTTAAGTTATTTTACTTCCAGTGTAAAATAACAGCCAGATCAGTCACATTTTGTGGTGGTAAATGTCATTGTGCAGTGTGATCAAACATAATGACCAACATATTGAATAATGCCTAGGATCCTCCTGAAGTTGTCTAAAATGTTTTTATTTATTTATTTGTGCTTACAGTGTAAATAAATAAGTCTTAATTTATAGTTCCATGGCAGTTTTATTTTCAAGCAATTTTTCATTAAAAAAATTTCATTCCGTATACTGATACATACCAACTCTGACGGTATATGGCATAATTAAGTTTTCAGATATATGACTGTTGTGTCGAAAGAATTAAATATGACTACAAACTTGCAAGTCATTTTGATGCTTAGCTAAAATGGCATCAGGTATTTCCTTAAGTAACTTTTTGATGATTAGGCCAAGAGTTCAACAAGAACTGTTTCCATTTCTACGGTTCAGAGCTTAACAAAGTTGTGTTATATGCCAATGTGGAGAAGATGTTTATACAGATTTGAATTTACCTGGATTATAAAAATTAGCAAAGAATATTATAAAGAAGTGATCCTAGTGAGCCCTTGAGTATATTTAGATTAACAATAGTTGCATACAGATCTGCTTGTGCACCATATCTGTCTTCTAAAGTAATGAAACAACTTGGATTAGATAAGAAAGCCAGTTTCACTTTGTCATAAAAAATTGCTCTTTATGACTCTATGTGGGTGATTTAGTTTCAAGAGCAAATGGTAAAGAGGAAGTTAAGTTTTTAGTTCGGCAGTTATTAGAGATGGGCGATCCGTTCCAAAATCGATCCAAAGAACCAATTCCCTTTACTGAATGAATGATCAGCACTCTGTCAGAAATGGAACAGAAATTCTTTATTAACAATTCATCGAGAGCTGTTGGAAATTTGATTACTTTTAATGTAAACACTAGCAGTCTTCTTTTATTGTTTACTGGAAATGTCTCTGACTTATTTTTTAATGTGTGTATGTGTGTTATATATGTATATAAGTGTGCTTTTGGCTTGCTTGTGTTCCATCTAAAAACAAAGCATTAAATAAACCAACAGCCCCATTTGCAAATGTATGGAGGTTTTTTTCCCCCATCTGACAGTGCGAGAATCTGTTTAAAATACATAGATTATATAGGAGCTAGTTTCTAGGATTTCCAGCCGTCTTGTGCTCCGACAACACCAGTGTCAGATCTGGATCTTTCAGTGTCATGATTTTTTGCACTTTTTATTGCTCTTGCTCTAGCTGCAGATCTGATAAAAATCTATAGATCCTGCAGAGTCTTGATCATCTGCTCTTTTTGCTTCCTCAGAGATGTTCCTTTGAGTTTCATTTTGATTCTTTGAATACTGTGTTATAGTATAGCTACATATTAGGTTTTAGGTTTTTACAATAATATTACTGTAATATTTATGTAAAATAATAAATATTTTTATTTATTTACTCATTTTACTAACGTCTTGTAACCAAGAGCTGTGAATTTCTCTTTAATCGTCTTATATTTATAAACATAAATTTTTCATCTAATGTATTATTTCAAGGTTGCAGAACAAAATGTGGGTCTTACTGAATAGAAGAACCTCAAGCGATATTTGGTATCATTTGTCAAATTAGATAAAAAAAAAAGGGGGGGGGAAATGCTGGTATTGTTGTCAGCAGACAATTTCCTGTTCTTTGAGATATGCCTTCAATCTAAAAATTTATTTTTACGCTGTGTTTTTTTGAAATCTTTAACTAAAGTGTGTTTAGGTTTCATTATTTTTTATCTTTTACCATTTTTTTACTAAAGAATTTTATTGTTGTTTCTGTGTAGGAAGGTTTTTTTTTTTTTTTAAGGAATCTCAAAAGTACAGTTGAAAGAACTGAACGCATTCATCAAGGTCATTGTTAGTGAGCGGTGAATTCTTTAAAAGGAACTGATTCACTTCAGTGAGTGATCAGTTTGGATATGATCCCTTAAAGGAGCCATTTTGCCCTTCTTTAGCAGTTAGCTGAAATGGTGGAAAGAAGTACATTTTGAATAGTTTAGCTGTTTTGGAAAATATTCCTGAGTGTTTACAAGAACCCAGTACTTCTCTAGAAATGGCCATTGATAAAAAAAGTGAAGATGTTGGCTATTAATTGAAAACCCACCATTGATACATTTTATTTCTTGAAATCCACTACCCAGATGGTATACTGGTTAAGGGAGCTGATTACGATACTGAAGGGCTTGTAAAAAGCATGGTTGTAACTTTCATGTCCCTTCATAGAAGGTAAAGCCTGTTATATGCCTCCACAGTAAAATGACCCCCATTACCAGCCTCAGGAGTGAACAGTGTCGAAAAAAGACAAAATAGTACCCACTGTTCGGAAAGAAATAAATTCTTGAAATGCATATACAATAAGGAATTAGAAATTACCAAAAAAAAAAAAAAAAAAAAAAAAAATTTCCTCTTAAATGATTACCATCTACAGTAACATTGCAAAAATATTATTACAAGAATTGTGGAGTTTAGAGCTTGGCTGATGTGAAGAAGAGGAGCAAGAGGGGCATTTAAAATGCACGCTGAACTGAAAGCTCTATGGAGGGGTTGGTATTAGGGGAAGAGATCCTTGAGCTGCCCTAAGTATGTTCTCAAAATTAGGGAGCTGCACAATTAATACAGCAGAACTATTGTCCCACCCATTTGTGCTTGTACCTGTGTTATCTGCCATTAAAAGATTAATGAGAAGATAAGGAAAAGGTGGAAACTGTTTTACTTGGAATTACTCGTATTGTCAAGCGTAAAAATTAAGCGGTATGTGTTTTAGTCTGAAGCAAATAAGTATAGAAATTTGCTCTTTTTATGATGTTTCAAAGAGGGCTTATTGTGCAATTATCTACCTTAGAACAATTAGCTTTGATTCTTCAGTCAAGATTAGCCTTCTGACATTAAAAGCCAGAGTTGTCCCTTTAAAGACTCAATCTCTTCTAAGATTAGAGTTAGGTGCTATGTTACTTGTAATCAGCCTTTTATATGAAGTTTTATCATGCATAGAGATGCCAATGGCAGTTACATGTAGACAGACTTACAAGTTACATTGGCATAGAATTTCATCCAAGCCTTCCATTGGCTACCTTTTGTTGCAAAATCATGTTGTGAAGATTGAGGAATCTGTTCCAAGGTGTAGAATGTCCTTGGAGAAGAAAATTTTGCATACTCTGGGACCAGAGGTTGTATTCCATCAGAATTTTTATGATGCGAATTATAAATAAAGGAATCCCCAATGGTTAAACCAATCGGTAATTCATATACAGCAAGATTTAAATTTAACACTATAGAATAATGTTAAAGGAAATTAAAAAAGTTTCATTTCAAAGAATCTAGTTTGTTTGTAGTCTACTGTCTAACGTTTTTATCATGATTCAATGGTTAAAGCTATATAGAGATTCAAGAATAATTGGAGTATCTTACCTGCAGAGCATTATAAAAGGTTATTTGTCTACTGAAAAACTTCATGAAGTTACTTCTGTGATTACTGGAACTACGTAATGATCTGTGTTTTCAGATGAATTAATTTTGTACAAAATCAGGTAAGCCTTTGAAGACCTCCGGCAAACTTCTGTCTATAAATCTCTTAGATTCTGCAGGGATAATGTTTATAGGTGAAAACTTAGAAATGCTACAGTTCCAAAAAATCAGAAGTATACTACGATTCTGCCAAAGAATTGTAATATAACCCTTTTAGTTATTAAGCATTATCATGAAGCATATCTTCATGCAGGTACTTAACTACTCATTTCTGTCATATAACATAGATTTTGGATTGTAAATGCGAGACATGCCTTTGAAAGTGTCAAAACCAGTGTTATTTTCCATTTACCCAGGCAGTATTGCTAACTGCTATACTAGTGGGCCCAGGTTTGAATCTTAGAGTAGGCATGGATGTTTGTACTGTGTGTGGCAAGAGGGGCACTTAAAATGCACGCTGAACTGAAAGCTCTATAGAGGGGTTGGTATTAGGGGAAGAGATCCTTGAGCTGCCCTCAGTATGTTCTCAAAATTAGGGAGCTGCACAATTAATACAGCAGAACTATTGTCTCACCCATTTGTGCTTGTACCTGTGTTATCTGCCACACTTAAGAGGTTTATGGCTTGTATCGAAAACTGTAAAATTCATAGCGATTGTGCAATGAATGTTATAAAAGCTAATAGAGAATCTGCTGTTGATATGAAAACATTTCAAGGAGTTATTTCTTCAGAACATGTCAAATAGTTATTTAATCCACCTCATTCTGGAGGACTTTGGGAAGCAGGGATTAAATCTATGAAATAGCATTTAGAGATGTTTAGGAATACTTATTTTAACATTAAAGGAATTTTAATCTTTAATAACATAAATTGAATATTGTCTTAATTTCAAGGCGATTGCTACTAACATCAAGAGATTGAACCATGCACAGGCAATAACATCAGGACACGTATTGACTATAATATTTTTTAGTGCTTTTCCAGAACTTAATTCAAGAAAAGTCGAGTTATCAGTAGAGGAACTTACACAAGCTGTTCAAACACTTTTGAAACTCCTAGAGTAGGAGTACAGTAGAGTCCCGCAAATTCGACATTCTGTGCAACTCAACAACTTTTTAGAGATATCTCTAGGCCAAACAGAGCAAATATTACATCATACAGTACATATAATTATTATTTTGTAGCACAAATTAGAAACCTCACAGAACAACATATGTTTACAAAATGTGCAATGCGAGTCTATGCATGTACCAAAAAGACGAAACATGCTTTCAACAGTCACAAAAAATAATTTCTTTGACATTTTTTTAAAAAAAAGTTTTTTTTATCCATTTATCTGAATGTCCTTATTATGAACATTCTTATGTTTTCACTGCTGTAGAAAAATTACATAAATGTCCATTTCCTCATTTTTTCTGACAATTTACTAGTAAAATAATGTGAAAGATTTATAGGTAATGCAATTCTTAAATACAATTTTTTTTCAAATTCGCGAATTTCGTCATTTATAGGAAATGCACACTGGAAAAACGTAAGTTTTTCCCCCTACTATTTTAAGTTTCCAAGTCCTAGACACATGCTGGTTTCACAGTGTGATCACCATCCACAGATCAGTGGACAAGAGTAGTTTTTGTTTAATTCATATATTATTTGTCTCTAGGATGTTATTTGATTTCTAGAGTTTTTTTAGTTAAAACATTATAAAATTAATATTGTGTGCATCAAAGGCTTAAATATTCAGAATTCTGAAAAACCCACTCCTTATTCCAGAAAATTCGACTTTTCGGAAACTCAACCATCTCTCAGTCCACATTATGTCGAGTTTGTGGGATGCTACTAAATTTATTTAGATTATAGCAGAGACCTAAGTGATCTGAAGGCTGATGATATACTACTTATTAATCTGCTGCATTGGAAATTAGGCAGAATTATTAAAGTTTATCCTGGAAAGGATGACAATGCACTGTTAAGAATTTTCTTATTTCCAGTTCTATTTATTAAATTGTAGAATATTATTGATAGTTTATCGTTTTTTAACCTTCTTTGGGGCTTCAAGGATAGGAGTAAGTTCAATGTTATGCAAATTTTGTTTTAAATTACCGAGCTGAAAAGTGGAACAGATGCAAAATACTTAAATTTTCATGGTGTTTGAACTGTTGTTCTGTTATAAATTTGTTCATATTTTATATAAATTTGAATCCAGTGGAAAGTTCTCCCATCTTATCACAATCATATAGCCTTGTATACATATATACAAAGATCTATTCATCCATTCTTTCTTCTCCCTTGAGCAGAAATATTGCATATAAGCTTTGTCCATATCTCTGTCTCAAACTATAAGAATTGTACTTACAATGAATGCATAACTGAAATGTCTGGTTTAGGCCATTTTTGACTTCTTAGTAATATTTAACTTAATAAATGTATATTTCTTTTGATTCTTCATAATCACTTTGATGTATAAAAGTCTCCACTATTTTTACACACTGTGGTATTTATTTCACATGTTTTCCAGTGAGTAACAATATTTATTGCCCAATGTTAATCCTCCAGCTAGCAGTAACCTAACAACTATTATGCCAATTAGTTTTCCTAATTAGTAATTGTCCTTGTTTTGTGCATGTAAAAACATGTTAATAGTAACTTTAATCACATGATAAATATACATCATTGTGTGCTTTCAATAGGAAAAATTCATGATGAGCAGTACTTGCTATATTACTACAAAAAGTTAATACATCAAAAAATTTAAATGCATATTTGAAGAAATGTTTATAATTTTCTAATTCATCATCAATCTAGCATTAAAGTTCCATGTGATGATCCAAAGTCTAGCATTTTGACAAGTTGATTGTTCTAGCATTAATGCCTGTGTATACGATTTATTACAAAATATATAAAACAATATGCTAGTTTTATCATACATAGTTTGCATTCATAAAAAATCCTCAAATTATTTTTCTATTTATATGTGCATACAACAATTAAATTATGGCAACATTTCACAGCTGTATTGTATTGCTGTATATTTCACGAGCTGTATAACTGCTCGATTTACCTATTTTGTTTTGCACGGAATATTTCATCGAGTTTCAAAGAGTACAAAAATTATTTTGGCTATTTGAATAAATATGTATTTTTATTAATTAAAGATCAAAATCTTATATACAGCTAGAATAAAAGCATACTATAAGGAATATTGCATATTACAAGTGTCATAGTACCTCTGATTAACTTCAGTTATAGAATGTTTTATTATCCTCAGGTCTGATATGTTAAGTTCATGAGACATTTTTATTTTCAAAATTATACATTATCAACAATAACTATGAGTACATATTCAACAGAAATATACAAACAATTCATTTTTAATGCAACATATAATTCCCGAACATTTTTAAAAATTCTTTTGGGATGAAAATAAAAAAAAAAAAAATATTTACTTTAGTTTGTAAGAAATCAATTTTATATCAGTTCTTTATATAATTTTAAAGAAAAAATGTGAAACATTTAAATGAAAATGAAATTAAATAAGCTAAGAATGTTCAGAAAATAATTACAAAATGTACTACATTTTCATCATAAAAAGCACTTTTTGGTACATTTCTATACTTTTTTGCAGCATTTTAAAAGACTGCTTTCCACATTTTTTTATGCTAAATTTTGTGATTTTATTTTTTATATCAAACATAAGTGATACTGTTAAAAACATAACAGTTAAGAAATCCAGTAGCCTATTATAAGAAATATGCATAAGTCTCTATATCTCAAGATCCCTGCAAGCAGATACCACCAACAAAAATTACAAAACAAATAAATGCTGCTCCCACATATAGGAAAATTTAAATAACTTATTATTCATGTAACATCTCCTTATAAAAGTTCTTTATGATACTGTCTTAAACAATTTACACAGTAGATAATTGCTAACAAGTTCCAAAAAAAAAAATCAAAGAATTAAAAAAAAAAAAAAAAAAAAAAAAAATCTGCTGAAAATGAATAATTAAATAATCAGGAACTTTTATAAAGAGTTAATACAACATTTATTGAAAATTACCTGAAAACAACCTTTTTCATATTTGGTTAAAATTATAAATTATGTTAGCAACAAAGTGAAGAAACCAGTTATAAAGATGACATTTTGAAGTGTTGAAAAATTATACGTGTTTGTAATTTAATATAAAAAACTGAAAAACAAGTAAATTTATGAATTTTGATTCTATGTAACACATATATAAAAGGTTAAACATTTCTATAATTCACTTCATACCAAGAAATTCAAAAATTGTGCATTATTACACCTTGGTATGCTGTCATCTTTGGTTGGGAAATCCTTTATGGAGATCTTGCTACATTAAGCTTACTTAATATTAAACATAGCATTGTGCTTATTATGCTTTATTTCTTATGTATTATTAATTGATATCTTGTTAACAATACTTTTTATTTGTGGCATTCATTTTTGCACACTACAAAACAGAAATAATAATAAAACACTTTTCCTACATATCTGCCTTATGAAAGAAAAAGATTGCTTGGGGAATCATGGAGAAGTTTCTCCAAACTTAAATTCTTATATGACTAAATCATCAGAATTTCATGAAGTCTTACAATTATTTTGAGAAGGAAAGCCTATTATAAATGGAATGAAAGTATAATTTGCCCTTTTCCCAATTAAAAAAAAAAAATTTACTTCCTTAAACCTTTAAATTGCATACAGAATTTTTTTTCCTTTTCACAAAAATATTCTCTCAAGTTTTAATATTTAGCTAATTATTTCAAAAATATATATATTTATATATATGATGATCCATTAATTTCTACATTTATAAGAAAAGCGACTTCTTTCCACTATAAAAGACAAAAAACAAGCAGTAACATGCTTTCATGAGCTTCAAGCAGTTTGTTAACATACGTTTAAGTATGAGAGTTATAACAGTTATACTATATGTAAATTGCACAAGAATTTATACATATGCATAGTTATTTACTAATAGTTTGCAATTTCTACTAAAAAGAAGCAGTAATTACTACGATTCAAATTATTTTTCATCAGAAATCAGTCTTCTACATTTTATTCATAAAATGAAAAAATATTTCAAGCAATTTAACTACATGTTATGCAGAACTTAGCTGCAAATACATCACATACAGCAAATAATATTATGTAGCAATAATATAATAAAGTATTTATTCAATATATAATTGTGCATTTCATGTTGTTTCTTCAATTAATGTATACACAGCCTTGTTCGGACATCATAAATTCTTACTTTGAAATTTTAAGAAAGCATCTATTGCACTGTATTATTTTTTTAATTAAATTTTTATTTTAATAAAAATTTCATTGCAACTCTTATTTTTATTAAGCATTGCATAACGATCAATAATAGGTCATTCTCCACAAAATGCAGCATTTCTAGAGAAGGGGCAAAAAAATTTTTATCTACAGTTAAAAATTTTTCTCATGTTTGAACTTATCAACTTCATTATAACCTATGGTAATTCGCCAGGATTATATAATATTTGAGGGACTAAAATATTTTAAAAAATGCATACCCAAGACATGATTAACTGCTCTTGAATAGGATATTTCTATCCATTAACAAAACAACTTAATGTACAAAATTATAAATTTGCAGCAATTAGCACAGTTTGTTTTATTCCAGATTCCCAATGTTTCCAAATAATTTAACATTTATTTAAATGTTTTGGATAATAAAGTGACAGTTGTCAGATCATGTATTTAATGTCAAATTAAATTGTAGCTTAAATATGAGTATTTTAATATGATTAACAGTCATTAAATATAATGTAAGGTATCAAAAACAATTTTTAAATCAATTAAATTTATGCATAATTATTTTACAATTTCAAAAGATACATAATTGCCAATATTTTAAATTTGCATCTAGTATTTGGTGTGATGTTTCTAGAAATTATTATTGGATTATTAATTAATATAAAACATGCATCTTTAAGGTTATACACATAAGATATCAGATTAAAATGTTTCTACCCAATACTGAGCTTTAATAATAAGTATATTACTCTCATTCTGTTTTTCTTTGATCATACACATAACGAATTTGATCTCTAAGAGTAACATTTATTCCACATATAAGAGTGCATACCTAATGGACTTAATAAAATGAAGTACACAATATTAATCATATCCAAAATTGCTACACTGCTTCCAACATTACAGCACATACATAATTGTATGGTGGGCTATTAAATTTGTTAACCACAAGCATGATATACAGTCTTCTGACAATAGGATTTTTCATAATTCATATCCAAATTATTACATATGTTAGTCTTATGCACATACACATAACATATCTAAATATATCTGATAACTAATAAAAATGAATACAACAAAAATTTTTAAATTACAATATTCACAAAATAATCAGAAATAGAATGTAATAGTCCAAGGACAGGATGCACTTTTTTATATTGTTTTATATTCCCAAACTTTATTACTTTTATGAAACAATTTTAATGGCACTGAAACATTTTTATAAAAATTAATTTAATTCCCCTTCACAGTTACTTGTTTTTTAAGCATTTTCTGGAAAATGAGCCAAGTATGCTTCTCAAATGAAGGGTGGAGTATCTATATAAAAGATAACAATAATGACAATTTCTATAGTAATCTTTCCTAGAAAGAAAAGTAATTTAAAAATTAAGAGTATGCTTACAGATATATTTTAAAACTGATAACAAAACTAATTGCAATTTTCCCTTTATGTATATTACTAATACTAAAAAATTAAAAAGCATAAAAAAAGATGGCACATCATCCATATTATAATCACAGAATGAAATAATGACATGACAAAACATATATTGCAATTAACACCACATTTATAAATAATATATTCAAAAGCTACATAATAATGAATTCATTAGAAATGATCTAAAAATGACTTCACAAGATAAGGAACAGTACATATAAAAGAAAAAAAAAATTTAATCACATCTTGACTCATATATAAATAAATAGATTTAAAAAGCAGCATATTCACAGTCTTATAATACACAAGCAATAGACTATTTTTTATTGTAATTTAGCATTCAGGAAAAATTATTCTTCAAAAATGAAAAATGAATGTTCATTCATTTTCATGAACTCATTTCTTTTGAATATCAATTTTCAATATTAATTTATTATTTTTATTATTATTATTTTTTATTATGAATATTAATTTTTAAAAGAATATGCAAATTTTTTATTAAATAAGAATTTCAATTTATTTGAATCAGATATACCATAATCATATCAAGATGCTTATGCTTTTGAATATATGCTGAAATTATTTACAGGAACATTGTGAATAATTCTAAGAGATTAGGACTATATACATATTCATTTTTACCTAAAAGAGTAATAGTTTTTTTTTTCCTAATTATAAAATTTTAAAACAATATAATGTACACTGTATATTTTGTAAATACATATCACATATTAATCTAGAGTTATGTGTTTTAGCTGGTGTATGGAATATTTAATTACTTTGAAAAGACAAGAAATTATTTAACTTTTTAAAAGAGTAAATATGCCCCAAAATATATGTATAAATAGTTATTTAATAAATATAACACTTGTATAAAATCATTAATATTTTACTTAATAAAGATTAAAGAGCGGGAATAAGGCATATTTTTAAAAATGACAGTGAATGTTTTTATACGAATCTCTTTAAAAACATGTATATAGATTTAATAACTAAATTTGTACATGTATATAAAGAAAGAGGTAGGAGAATTAGTCATGTTTAAAGCCAACAATCAAAAGACAGAGGGGAAAAACTTGCAACATTTCTACATAAACTAAAGATTTTAATACTCAAATATGAGAAAAAAATAATGTAACATTTTAAAATTGAATTGTATAACATTTGAAAACATAAGAAATATATATAGAATTTTCTTAATGTACAATAAATATCTGCAGTTTAATATAAAAGTTACAAACATTTAAAGAAAAATGAAATCCCTTTTTTATCACACATTAAAAAAAAAAATTTAGCTTCTTTTTGTTCTTCACGTGAAAGAATGGAATACCATTTAATTATTGTCATGTTCTGAGTATCAACAGAAAGATTAATGATTTTTTCAAAACTTGAAAAAAACATAGTTAAATATAAATTTAAAAGGAAAAAATTTACAAAAAATATGCAAGACAAATAGCTAAATATAAGTTTTTCTGCAAGAAACATAGCCCTTAACATAATAAGGAAAAAATAGTTATCAATGCAGAAAAACCGAAGGAACTATATTTTTATTAAATATAGTAAACAATATTGAGAAATATTATAAATATTTTCTTTTTTTATTGCTAAAATGTTTTAATATAACAAGGAGATATATTTAACCTTATTAAAAATTAACATGAATGTACATGGAAAAACTGATAAATAATTAATGCAGCACAAATAAAACCAAAAGAATTTACAACTTTTCACTGAAAAAATATTCTTTCTCAGCATTAACTTTCAGTTCTTAAAAACAGCATAATCTACATAATATAATCATATACAAGTTTTTTACAATCACATATTTTCCATATTTTATGAAATATACATGGATCAAATTCTGATTCAGAAAACTTGAATTAGAATATGTCTTGCAGGTCACCAAATTCAGATGGGAAAATGATGACTATGAGCAGTGATGCTGATTCATGCAGACAAATTAGGCATTTGCATGTAACTTATTCTCCTAAGGATAAAAAATAAATAGAGTCAGAACGTTTTTAAAAAATCACTTTACGGTACGTTAAATAACAAACCTTTACATGACTTAAGCCACACAGGCATTAATCATCTATCAGCACTTACAGATGCTCAACAGATATCACTCAGAGCTATAAAGGCCCGTCCACACGAGTACGCTCGAAACGTAGCTGACGAACGCGCTTTTACGTTACCAGCGTAAAAGCGTCCAAACGAGTACGCTTGCGAAGCGTGCGTTTAACCAATAGAATTATTTTGCGCAAAAATCACGTGACACTGTAATAAAGCATCAACAGAGCTGTATCTTATTACGTTGTTCTTCTGTATGTTTGCGGCAAGTTGTCCGAATCAGATGATTTTTTTTATAGCTGAAACTTTACTATTATGTGCAATTATTAAGCAGAGGCAAAACCGCAAAAAATGGCAAGAATGGGTCCGAAAGATTTATTTAGAGTGACCTGTTCAAAGAGATTTTTTTTTTTTTTTTTACTGCCTTGTTTGCGAAAGGAATATCTGGAATTATTAAATTCCTACTATTAGTTCACACTCTCCCTATATCTTGTTCAAATTTTCAGTACATAAAAATGCTTTTTATTCATCCACTCAAGTTCAAATACAATTTTTTAAACTTGCAGTGAATGACACTTGATACAGCTTTTTCACATATTAAATTTTTTTAAATTTTTAATTAAAAAAATTATGTTTGTATTTTTATTTATTTATTTATTTATTTTTGTATTTTTAAACTTTTCTTTGTGGACCTAAGTAGGAATTGACTTAATTTTTTCTCGAGGGGGTATATTACTTGTTTTTTAATTCCTTCAGGATAAGTATCGACCAGTTTGACAGACTTGCAGATTCTATATCGTATGAAAATTAGGATTTATAAAATTGGTTTGGAATACAGTATAAAGAGATTTATATATACCATCCACCATATAATAAAACCAACTTCATATTTTTTTAACTCGCTCTTCCTTAATCTTTTGTTTTTCTTTTTATTTATTTTTGAATTTAGAATGAGGTTCAAACTTTGGACAGTTTATGAGAAATTATGTGCATGATAAAATATGCAATAAAGAAAAAATAAAGAGAGAATTTATAGATGATATATGATAAAGAGATGCAGATATATTTTTACATAAGGATTTCTATTTGCACTGCACGTTTTTAAACTAAATTAAAAACAATAATAATAATGAATAAAATAAGAAATGAAAACAATAATAATAGATAAAATAAGAATATAATGATTCAGGATTAAATATAAGAAACACGTTTCAAAATGAGAAAAGCTAACTGAATTATACCGTCTACGGCTGAGGTTCGAACTTGCCACCTTAATTGATAAAGTGCATTAAAAGGCACACACAAAGACCAAGTTATGCATTTCAAACAACTTATCAGTTTCAATAATTTTCTTTTAGCCACATAAAATAATTTCCTGTTTGGGCTTACACTTTACATTCTTATAATTAGAAGCTTCTAAATCACATGCTTAAAAACCAGGCAGAGAAGCATGCAAGTAAATATGGTTTTTGAGAAAACATATAATTTATACTGAAAAAAGTGTATCATTTATACTCATTATGCTGCATGATCGGAAAATCTAATGACTAATGAGTATTTATTTTTGAAGGGCAATTACATTTCTAAAGAGAAGAGTGAAGAACTGTCCACTGCAAAAGAAAGCAATGTCTTGATAAAATTGTGTTAAATAAAAGGTATATAAAATACTTTTCGAATGAAAAATGAAGATTACAGTAACTTTTCATTCACTTCTTTTCAAAAGTGGTAGCTGTTGTTAGCTGTGAATTACACTCTTAGACAAAAAAAAATGACACACACCAAGAAGGACTTATCCGAATGGGACGAAAATTGGTAGAAGTGATGTGCATGTACAGAAAAACAAATGATTACAGTTTGAGAAAAACTGGATGATTTATTGAAATGATAGAGCTTCACAAAGTGAAAAAGTCAGTAATGTGTTTGTCCATCTCTGGCCCTTATGAAAGCAGTTATTTGGCTTGTCATCAATTGATAGAGGTTGCAGATGTCCTCTTGAGGGATATCCTGCCAAATTCTGTCCAACTGGCGCGTTAGATCTTCAACATCCCGAGCTGGTTGGAGGGCCCTGCCCATAATGCTCCACCGTGCTCAATAGGAGAGAGATCCGGCGATCTCGTTGTACAAGATAATGTTCGGCAAGCACTAAGGCAAACAGTAGAAACATATGCAGTGTGGGGGCAGGCATTATCTTGCTGAAATGTAAGCCCAGGGTGGCGTGACATGAAGGGGATTACAAAGGGCCTTAGAACTTCGTCGATATACCGCTGTGCTGTAAGGTTGCGACGGATGACAACCAAAGGGGTTCTACTATGAAATGAAATGGCACCCCAAACCATCACTCCTGGTTGTCAGCCTGTCTGCCGAAAGAAAGTCAGGTAGGTATCACACTGCTCTCCGGAGCGTCTCCAGACTTGCCTTCGCTGGTCATCGAAGCTCAGTTCAAAGCGGGACACATCACTGAAGACTATTCTGCTTCAGTCAGTGCGAATGAACCTGACACCACTGCAAACGGGCTTGACGTTGTACAGAGGTCAATAGTAGTTGGTGCAAGGGGGTGCCGTGACCTCAGACCCCTTTCTGTGAGCCATCTATGTTATGAATGGTTCTTGTGGTCACTGAAGCACTAGTTGCACGTACAATTGATGATAATGATGCATCTGGGGCTGTAAGTGCCGCTCTGACAATTGCTCGGGCTTCACGTTCTGTTGTTTCTCTATGACTACCGCTTCCTTCTTGACGCTGTGTGCGGCCATGGTTTATCCATTCCTGCCAACATCGTCTAATAGTGGCATTGCTCCTGCTCAAATGTCGAGCTATTCGCCGATAAGACAAACCGGCTTCTTTGAGCCCAACTACACGACCTCTCTCAAATTCTGACACCTGCGCATATCGTTCGAGCACCTGTATGCGAGACATAGTTACTGTCTACCAGAGTACACGGAATGAAATTCATGAAGAATTTATGACCTCGAATCGTAATTTCTCCTCTTAAATATCCTGCCAGTTGCGCAGATCAGATGCGCTGTAGCGACAACCGTTCATTCATTGGCAGCCAAAATGTAAAATTTTGCATTTTACGTCGAAACCTGTATGCATATCAATTTGCGTCCAATTTGCTTTATATCTTCTCGGTGAATCATGGTGCGTCTTTTTTTTTTTTTTTTTTTTTTTGTCTAAGAGTGTATTTAAATATTAATATTTTTATTATTTGAGAAGATTGATCTGTATTTTTTCAACTTCCCTGACTTTTTTTTTTTTTTTTTTAAATGTTATTTTTTTTCTGACTTTCCCTGACCATTTTTCATTTCCATGAGTTTCTATGATTTTCTATGTGAGTGAGACCCCTACCTTTCACAGAATATGAAAAGCAAATGAAAAACTAAAATTCTGTTTTATATAAAAATCTTATGGAAATTTTCGAAATCTTTACAGTAGTAAAAGAAAAGAGATAAAAAGCAAAAGATCAAAATTGTATATAACAGAATGATAGTATACTATCAAGTTTAAAAAAGGAAAATATTCCACTACAAACAAAAGCTGAAACTACAAAATAAAACATCTGGTTACAATCTCCTTTAAAACTAAATACTGATCTATGTAGAAACTGAATTAAATAAAATCCATAATGATAAACATACCATTCATATTCCATTTCCTTTCTTCTTGTATCCTTACAAAACAATCATACAAAAACACATACTGAAAAGGAAAAATAAATATACATAAAAATTGAAAATCACATCACTAAAAACATTTTAATACAGAAAATGTATATTAAATAGAATAAAAATAAATGATATACCATACACAATCAAGCACTAATAATTGTGAGAACACTGATTGTAATCACATAATTTACAAATAAAAAGCCTTATGAGGCAATAATGAATAATAATCATTCAACGAATGATAACTGAATCTTGTCCATCATGCATAGAAAGTAAAAATTCACTTAAACAAAGCAGTGATCACATACACATCATATAATTTAAATAACACACAGCAAGCAAAATGACACAATGCAAGTTTACTTTACACACTGCAAGATATCACACAATGACACACTGCAAAACTTCAATAACATGCTGCAAATTTACATGAAAATGAAATATTTTTATGTGACCTACATAATAAAACAACTCAGCCACAGTTGATTTCCTTTATGTAAAATTAATGCTACCAAAATAAACTTACTGGTTACCACATTGGCAGAAGGCATAAGATGAGGGAAGTTAGGTTATTGTACTATGGTAAAAGCACATGAAGGCCATCTACAGGGCAGGGAAGCCTTTCTAAGGGAAATTGGCTTGTATTTACGTTACACATGGGGAAAACCACAAAAATCAACCATGCATCCAGCCTATTTGTTTGTGCTCAAATTCCCAGTGGACTTAACCACCTTGTCACTGTTTGACGAAGTGAGGATAATTATGAAAATATATTTATAAAATAATTTTGATAAACAGAATGAATGAAAATATGCGTTATTAAATGTACTTCATGGAGAGTAGTTTTTGTAAAGATTTTCAAGAAGTATGTTAAAATAAAGTTCATTTTATTTCCACATTTGTTATGTATCATTATCCAATTTAATTTATATTTTATTAAAAGCGATAATTCTTTAAATGGTAAAAACTCATTATTTATATTAATTTGGAGTAGTTAACTAAATAAACTTACATAAGGAGTATATATTTTGACATAACGAGGTTTCTTATCAGGAGGTGCATATTTAAAACTGAATGACATTCCTTCATCATCAAGTTCCCATTCTTTTACAGTCTCCCAGTTGAAATCTATAATTTGAGACTAAAAAAGAAAAAAAAAAAAAAAAAAAAAGTTAATAATCCTCATAAAACTATGAATTTCAAATCAAGTTTCCAAAAAACAGATACTTAGTTATGAATACTAACAAACATTTTGACTATGTAGGGGTATTAAAATCCTAAGCTCAAATCTTCACTCAGAATAATGAATCTTTCGAATCATAATCTAAAACACTGCTGTCTATTTTAACTTAAAACTTAAGAAGGATTTGTTTTATTCAAGTTTATTAGAAGCATTCATTAAACAGAATGTTATAATTTCAATTGCCCTGGTTCATCAGCCACATTTTTAATTTTCTGGAGAAATTTAAGCATTCTTTGTTTAGTATTGTACTTATTTGTGTTAAATCTTGAAATGATCTTCTATGTACTTGCTTCTCCAGTACATATATTAAAATTAGAATGATATAGAGAAGATTAGCAAAGGCTTTGCGCAAAGATGTTAACACATGAATGGCTATTTCAATATTTTTTGTCAAATTATGTTGGGAAAATTAATCTTTCCACAGCATAATTCCACAGTATCCAACAGCTATTCTTCGATAGGATGTACTTTAATTAAGACACAATAACATGCCAAACAAATACTAATAAAACGATAAAACCATCGAAACTAGTCCTGTGAAAATTTTGAAATTATAATGCTGATTTTGTTGTTTATCTTCTGAATTAGGATGTACTTTGTTTAATAAATTTTATTTGCTTATTTTTTCAAATTCAGACAAATTCAGCTTTAATTAAAAACTTTTAGCTTAAGTTTCTTTTCCCTTATTATGATTATTATAAGAAAGCTATAAGATTCAAAGAATTTAAGAACTTTTTTTAAAATTTGGATTAAAACATTTAGATTCATCTCATTCCTAATTTTTATCCTGTAAAAATTACATGTAATGAATATAATAATGCAAGGTAAATGTTTTGTTTAATAAAATCTCTGTTATAGTAATTCCAAAACACTTTAAGAAGGATTAACAGACTATATTTCATAAGGAGAATATGATCAAATTTTGTTAACTTTACACATTCGAGACTAAAAAGAATTTTGAAGATAATTTCTAAGGGATTTTTTTTTAACTTTTAGCAGAAAAACAAAATGTTAGAATAATGAAATATAAATATTATATACAATTTTCGTAAAAATAATGTCACCACACATCATGTGTGCAACTGGTACCTCAAAATATTTTTACTACAAGGAACCAATTACAAGATATACCTTGAATTCTTTGTAAGCATATATGCTGGAAGTGACAATTTAATTAATACAGCTACTTTCACTCCAATCATTCTCTGTGCTCATATGTAGCAAAAAAATATTAAAATTTCAGAAACCGTTCCTTCCGGCTGTATTTTGAGACCTATTCAGCATACTTATTCATTGTATTCACAATCATGGGGGAAAAAATTTACTAATGAATAACAGCTCAAAGGAATTATACAGATAATCTCCTTTTGATAAATGTTTTTAGACCTGAACTGTACTAAAAAATATATTTCTTAAGATTCTGTAATGTTCCTCCTTTCTTAAAATCTTTGGTTCCCAATATATCACATATGATATGCTTCCGCTTATCTCCATGGACCCGGTATTAAATGTGATAGCAAGCGAAGTGTCACTGGTGGCCCAACATATCCATATTTGATACACTTAAGCAGAATTATTTCAAACTTTATATACACTTAAACTATATGTGAATGATGCAAAACTTTATTAAGTGAGTGTTAGCTTTGTTTTTATGAATCTTAGTATTTACTATTTTATTTTGTGAATATTAAAAGTGTGAAGCTAATAGTGTGCATTCAGAATTTAGAAATGTTTCATACATTGCAAGCATCATAAAATTTTGTATATAAAATGGCAACAGGATATAACAGGCACTAATATTTAAATTCCTTAGTTTTTCACTGCATTATTACTAATATTGCACATTGACTTACTATGAATTTTTATTTTAATTATAAGTTTACATTTTTTGCTTTATTACAAGAAATATATGCAAGAAACTGTGCCAAATAAAAAGATTTTATATTAATTATCTGTTCATGTCAGGCTTAATTGCAAAACAACCTCAACCTCAAGTCATGGGCACCTGAGAGAACTTCATTTTCTAAACATCAGGAATGAAGAGGTATTAAGAAAAACCTTCATTATATTCAACTTCATTTTCATCGCCATAACATGAACATTTCTGTAATAAATTTTTTCAATAATTTCATTTATTTATTATTTATTTATTTATTTCATTTATTTATTTCATTTATTCATTCATTCATTTATTTATTTCTATATCCATATTCATGTCATCTTCATAATCTACATCAAGGCAACTACTGTCTATAACCACTTTTTGCATTTTTCCCTTGCTTCTTTAAGCCAAGAAACTGTCACTCTCTTTACCACTATTCATTTCTCGTATTCTTGGTCATAGATATATCATTTTAGGGATTATCTTGAAACCAATATTAATTTAAAATTTGTACACATTTGGGTTTTGTGGTATTATAGAAAGATCTTATCTCCACAACAGATTCTTCACTACTGACTGATAACAGAAATTCATGATTACCACATACAAATGGTGTGCAACTAGTTTTTTGTCTAAAAAATGCATTAAAATAAACATGGTGGGGAACCAGTCTTTAATGAATTAAAGAAAACACTAAATTTCTTAGCATATATTACAGTACTTTCTCCTAATGCACTAGATGTATCATTGGCAAATTTAACTTGCCACAAAAATAACAGTTTTATTATCTTTCCTTACCTCTAGGGTACCATCATCCTTGCATGCTTGTAACTTGAAATTTGTTAGTCCCACAGTTGCTACAACATGGCCCTCTTTCCTGGCATCACATGCACAATGAGGAAAAGATATTTCTCCATACCCATCAAGCTTCCTTGCCAATTTCAAATACTTTAAAAAAATTACATATTTTAAGAACTATTTTACAATTCCCTGCTCAAGATCATAACACAGTGAAATCACAAAATGTACCTCTGCACATGCTATTGGGACTAATAAAACTGGGAAGTAGTAATCACAAGAATTGGATTACTACTCGCTGGTATTTAAACATTCAATAGATATTTTGATTATATTTGCAGATGTCAAATGTGAAAGCCAGTGCTAGTGCAGAATTTTTAATACATTTTAGAAAGTTTTTCTTTTGTTACTGTTGTTATTTTAATTATTATAACAAATATTTTTATACCAGCTAAGAATCTGATATTTATATCATTTCAATACCAATCAGTCTTTATTTAGCTCTAGAAAAAAGCAATAAAACTTTATATTTGAAAAGCACTGTTTCACTATTTCATAGGATTTTAGCTTCACTGACCAAGTTGAGCAGAGTAACAAGCAAACTATAAAAGTCTAAATTGTTATTAAATAACTTCTCATCTTTCTGACCTCATAATTTTTACACAATTGCATTCATTAAAAAAAATCACATAAAAATTCTTTAAATGAGGAAAAAGAATAATGCATATTGTTAACCTACTCTTCGGTTACAAATTAAATTTAACCTCAGAATATAATGATAAATTAATCCATAAGCATGCAAATAACAAATGGAACTACTAAAAATATTTTCTAGCCTGCAGTTAAAAAAAACTACAAAAATTTCTTGTTGAGATATTTGTAATCGTATTCTTATTGGTTAAAAGGAAGTATATCCCATTCTTTATGTTATTTTTGATTGGTTGTTTATAGTGTCTTGTTTATGATTTGTTGCAAAGTTATATATATAACCTCTGTAAACTCTGCGTGTATCTCTGCGTATTACTCTGTAATAAATGTTTGTTTTTCGAAGCACCGCATTTTCGATGTTCAACAGCAGAGCGTGGTTCATCAAAAGTTAAAATGCGCTAATCTTTTTTTCATTGAACCTTCTATGCCAGTGTCATAATTTATCGTTCACGTGACTTTGTTTTGTTTTTTCGTGAATGATGGCCTTTTTCAAGCAGAAGTGAAAGGGAAGCTTTTGGTATCATGCCATTTGATGGGGTTAATAACTTTACTGTTTGGTGTCAAAGAGTTCAAGCAGTATTTACTGCAAAGGAATTGGATACACTTTTGGAAACAGAAGCAAGTGTGGACAGAACTGCAGATGTCTTGAAATCAAAAGCTTACCTTAATTCTTGCGCTTTAAATGATAATATTATTGCTTCTTTCAACATGAATTTAATTTGAAAAATATGGAAGAAACTGCAAGCTAAGTATAGTGCTAAAGGAGCAGTGAGTCAAATTTTAACGCGTAAACTTTTAGCTACTATAAGAAAATCTAAAGATGTGTCAATGAGACAACATATCGACAACATAATGAACTTGGTTAGTAATCTACGCGTCTCTGGATCTGAAGTAAGTGATGTTTAATGATGTTATTATTTACATTTTAATGTCTTTGCCAAAGGAATATGAAAATGTAAAGGCATCATTAGAAAATCAACCAAGTGATCATTTGAGTTTGGATTTTGTTACAAGCAGACTTATTGATTACTGAATCCCTTATATTCGATTACAAAAATGAAAATAAGTATTCTAAACTAAATATGGATAACTCTGTTTTTATTAGTGCTCGTAAAGAACTGTTTTGTTCTTATTGTAAAAGAAAAGGACATTCTGCTAAATTCTGTAGAAAAAAAGAACTGCATCTGTCATAGCTGTGGGAAAACTGGTCATTTCAAAAGTGAATGTTTTGATAATTCTAAAAAGCAGGCAAATTCAAATAGTAATAAAGTATGCATCACCTGCAATATCTTTTATGGATGGAAATCTTGTGCATGATCAATTTTTATTATTGATTCTGGCACAACTTCTCACATGTCTTCTCACAAGGAATGGTTTACCTCAATTAAGCCTATGACTGGAACTGTTAAATGCAAGTCTAAATTGGCAGTTTTAGAAGTAGAAGGCATTGGTGATATTTGCGGCAAAACTAAGAATAGTGTTGAAATAATGTTAAAAGATGTTCTTTGCATTCCGAAATTAAACGGACAATTAATTTCTGTCAAAAATATTGAAGCAGCAGGTCTGAGTGTAATTTTTAAAAATGAAATAATTTACATTGAAAACAACAACAAATGTTTTAGATTTGGATATTTGGACAAAAGTGGACAATATTTTAGTGATTTTTCACCAAACCTATATACAACTTTAGCAGTAAAGAATGATGATTTATGGCACAGAAGATTAGGACTGTGATCAAAAATTAAAACTAATGAATCTTCCTCCAAAAGAAACATTTCTTGAAGTATGCATTCGTGCTAAAGAAAGTGCATTGCCTATAGGAAAAGGTCCTCGCATAAAAGAATCCAAACCATTTATAACTATATACACTGATATATGTGGTCCAATAGAACCTCAAACGCGCCATGGAGAAAAGTATTTCATGACTATAATTGATGACTACTCGTGATTTATGGAAATAAGACAGCTCAAAAGAAAAAAAGTGACAGTGTTGATGAACTTAAACTATTCTTTATATTAAATCCAACTGTCACAAAACTGCATTGTGACAATGCCAAAGAATATGTCAGTGGAGAACTTTATGAAGTTGCTAAAAGAGCAGGTGTAAAAATAGATTCTGCACCTCCCTACACACCTTTTCTAAATGGTGTTGCTGAAAGAGCAAATAGAACTGTACTGGAAAAAGCTAGAGCAATGATACTTGAGGCAAATTTAACAAAATTCCTTCGGGGTGAGGCAGTACTTACGGCTGCTCAGATAAATAATCAACTTCCAATTAGTTCAATTGACAATCGTGTTCCTTATTTTCTGAAGTATGGTGAAAATCCTGATTTGACAAACATGCGTGTATTTGACTATGATGCTTATACTCTTGTGCCACCATCCCAAAGAAAAAAACTAGATAAAAAATCTGTCAGAATATTTGTAGGTTATTCTACAATGGGATATCGTTTAATGATTCCAGAAACAAGACGCATCATCGTTTCCAGAAATGTTAAATTTAATGAAGGAAAGTAGAAAATCAAAAATACATTCCCGATAGTTCTGATCCGAGTGCAAATGACAAAGATGACATTAAAAATGAAGACAAATCAATATCAGACACTGATAACGGTGAATTAAATGATGCAAATAAGAAGGTGGAACAAAGAAAATCCACAAGAGAAAAGAAAAGAAACAACCAGTTAGGTATCGTAATCCTGAGATTTACCAAGCGATGTTTGCACAACAAGACACTCTGACATTTGAAGATATTCTAAATCTACCACAAGTAGAACAAGAACTATGAAAAAGAGCTATAGACGAGGAAATGAAATCTATGGAACATAACAACATCTGAGATCTACAAAGTTTACCCCCTGATAAAAGAGCCATTTCTTGCAAATGGGTTCTACATAAAAAATGAGATGGAAATTATAAAGCCAGGCTTGTTGTTTGTGGCTTCATGCAAAAAGAAGGCATAGATCATACAGACACATTTTCTCCAGTAATTAATATGAACTCATTACGTTTAAATCCTGGTAATCATCAATAATGAAGGTTTACAAACTTTTACTTTAGATGTCAAGACAGCTTTCTCGAATGGTAAGTTAGATGAAACCATCTACATGGACCAGCCCAAAGGATATGATGATATGAGTGGTAAAAAATGTAAACTTAAAAAGAGTTTACATGGTCTTAAACAGTCTCCTCGACAATGGTATCAGAAATTTCTTAATTTTGTTATTAAATTAGATTTTAAGCAATTGGACTCTTAAGCATGTATTTTCATCTGAAATCTAAATTGTAAGAAAGTAATTATGGCTCTTTATGTGGATTACTTATTAATTGCAGGTTGGGATATAAAAGAAACAAGTATTATATTATAATACTTGTTTCTTTTATCATTGTTATCTAAATTTCAAATGTCAAAATCTGAAAGTGTCTCAGAATTTTTAGCTATTAGACTGAAATTTGAGTCCGGTTGTTTATATTTAGATCAGAAACCATATATTGAAAAATTACTTGATAAATTTAAAATGTCTGATTGTAAAACTGCCCAAACTCCCATTGAACGAAAATCTACAGAAGCTGATTTTCAGAAAGGAAATGCATTTTATGGCCCATACAGAGAATTAATTGGATCTTTACTTAGCATGTATTACAAGGCCAGATATTTTATTTGCAGTAAATTGTTTAAGCCAACGGCAGAAGCTCTTCTATAGCTCTTCTACTGATGTTGCCTGGTGTGCTCTAAAGAGAATTCTTAGGTACTTGAAAAACACCTTAAATTTAAAATTGATATACAAAAAAGGTGATTTGGAAAGGTCAAATTTATGTTTGTATGTAGATACAGATTGAGGGGGGGAGATACTCAAGATAGGAAATCAATTACTGGTTACTTTATAATGTTTTCAAATTGTCCTATTATGTGGTGCTGTAACAAGCAAAAATGTTATTACACTTTCATCAACAGAAGCTGAAATAATTGCTTTATGCAAAGGTATTCAAGATGTTTTATGGATAAAAAATGTAATAAATGAAATTTCCAGTGTTAAAAATGTCTATATTTTTTAAGATCACCAGTCATGTATTAAAAGTACTGTTAATGAAAACTTTTCAGGTAGGTTGAAACATATAGATATAAAATTAAAGTTCACTCATAAGACCGTTAAAGAAAATAATATTAAAACTGAATATGTAAAATCAAGTTTACAAATCACAGATATGTTAACTAAGGCTCTGCCAACAAAATTTTATGAACTGTTATCACTGAGCTGTTTAAAAATTGTGTAATTCTTCTATCTTTTCTATAATGTGTGATTAAGGGAGAGTGTTGAGATATTTGTAATTGCATTCTTATTGGTTAAAAAGAAATATGGCTTTCTGTCACATCCAATGCATTAGCTTTTTCTCAGGTCCGATGTATTCTGAAACTTAATCCCATTCTTTATGTTATTTTTTATTGGTTGTTTATAGTGTCTTGTTTATGATTTGTTAAAACATGATCTATTGTAAAGTTATATATATAACCTCTGTAAACTCTGCATATGGCTCTGCGTGTATTTCTGCGTATTACTCTGTAATAAATGTTTGTTTTTCGAACCACGGCATTTTCAATGTTCAACATTTCTTAAGCACAAAAGATATATTTCCGAAGTCTGTAACTCAAACATATATAAATATGCAACTCAAACATATTTAATAAACCAAAAAATCATCTAATCAGTTCATATAAATATACAGCAGCAGAAAATCACAAATGTACTCATATTATTAAAAAAATAAGAGAAAGTATAAAGGCAGGTCACCCACTGAGAGATTGTAAAAGATAAAACACTTTATAAAATTACAACTTAAAATAAAGTTTTTTTAAAAAGGAGAATAAAATTAAATTACTTAACATCATACATAAATAAAGTACACATATTTCTAAATAAATCATATACCTCTAACTTCCGAGATGAGTCTTGTAAAGCTTTAAGTTCATATAATTTATTTCCAGGTTTTATTTGACCTTTATTTACATCATCAATAGCCTATAAATAATAAAAACATGATCAATAATTGTTCCTAAAAGAAAAGAAAATGTCCTCCTCTGGTTAACAAAAGATTTTCTTACTGAGAATTGCTAAAGTTCACACTATAATAGCAGACTCTACAGAACCTTAATTCAAAATACATTAAAAATCAGATTAAGAACGATGATAAAATAATGGTTTACGCAATATTCATGATGCACATTTAAGCTATAATAAATATTTCCCACTATATCACTTCACAACATAAAAAACTTATGAGGCATTATTATTATCATAAAACAAAAACTGCAATTTTCTGATGCATTTAAAATGAACACTCAAGATTTTGTACTTAATCATGTTTTTACATAAATCATAAAAAATAACCATTTTATTTTCAAAAAAAGTTATGTATATGCTTTTTTTTAAATATATTTTTCTAAGCCAGTTTATAATATTAGGCATTATAGCCTATGAAAAAATTACATTATGTTTACAAAAGCACATGTTCTAACTAGATTTAACAATATTAAATACTTCGGATTGAAGAAAATATTTTCATGTGGTGCATTTTCACACAGAAATAAAACTGGAGAAACTTAACATTTCATTGACGGTTTCATTTTTTACATGTGTATATTTAATTCAAAAATTTCTGTTTAAATGAATAGTTCGAAGAATATGAAAATGAAAACTCATTCACTAATTATTAAGAAATATACATTACATTATTGTAAATGAAACTGCCAATAAATTGTATGGCATATTCCTGTTAATTGAGGGAAAAACAAATTAATAGTTTATGTAAGTTTATAATGCTATAAAATGAAAGCAACGAATTCAATAATAGCAGCTACTGGGTTTAACAAACATGTAATGTAAGAAAACTGTTAAAATAAATTTAAGAGTTTGGAAACAGATTAACTGATAAACATTTTTCAAGGGCAAGTGCAACAAGTTCAAGTGAAACATTTGCAAGATAAGTGCTAAATGATAAAAAATCATGCATATGTTATGTTTGGAAACAGGTTAACTGACAAACTTGATTTTTTTCATGAGTTTAAATTCATGAATTCTGCAAGGGCTGCAGTAACTATTAGTTACAGAATGAGCTAAAATGGGGGACAGCTACAAAGTGAACTATTCAGCCTTTGTTTGCAAAGTTTAGATCAACAAGTGCAAACAATGAACTTCTAAATCCTTCCTTCTGTTTCTCTGCTCTGTGCTCTGGTTGAATTAGATCTATTCTAAATATTATAGCTAATCTGCACAAAAGAAATATTTCCTATTTTACTGCTTCCCACTTGCTAAAACACAATAAATTTGGCAAGAGTTTTTTTTCCTTAATTCCAATGGTCAGACATTTGCTAGCTAAGCATTCATCATGAAAAGCTAAACTGATTGGTCATTTAGCTACTTCATCAATAAGAATATTGCCCAGGATGCACCGTAGATAGTCATCAATTTTAGACTAATCGGAAGAGAAGCAAGAAAAGTCTAAACATCTTGTCTTATTCAGGATTCCAACCAAAGCTCATCAATATGGTTGTTTGCTTTCTTAATATTCATACTGAAGAAGATGACAAGCTGGGTAAGAAAGCTCGACATGAGACACTGTACAAGTTCCCCAATTAGAAAAATGCAATTAACCAAATCTTGCATCACAACTCCAGGCATTTGGTTATGAGGGTAAAGACAGCTTCAGAAAGTACACTGAAGCAACTTCAGGTACTATGTAAGATAAGTGCCACATGATCAAAAATCATACATAAAATACCAACCTTAGTTGAAAAACACAGCAGTTTGCTGCTCCAAAAGATACTACAGTTCTATATGATGAAAATCTTGCAGGAAATGCACCAACTGGGATTCAAAATTATACCTTTGTGTTTTCATTCTACAGATATTTATTTGTTTACTTTATTAAACATTTCTTTCAATATAAGTAGTTTAAGTTGCTTCGTTTTTTGTGCTAATACTTCCTCTTTAATTCTATAAACAGACATAATTTCTTGTTCAGTTACAAAGTTCCACTGCTCAAACCCTGTAATTGCTGTGTCGAGAATACTGATAAACTTATCAATCGAAATTTTTTCGTTTTCAATAACCTCTCTGTAACTTTCTTCACTATTGGAAGCGGTATTTTCTGGATCTAGAACCATACTACAGATTTTGTTGTCCGTTAACTAATTGATGATTGGGGCATTGACGTCGCAATGAAAAACTTCTGTTATATCATCTTTATTTATTACTACTTCTCCACATTTCTTTACAAAATCCAATAACTGGAAAATTTCACCTTTAGTTTGCAATGTCTGAAAACCTTCAAATTCGCAGCTATCATCTTCATTACCCTAACCATGAAATAAGGTAGCTGGCCATAAAGCATGCCAAGCATTTTTTAACGTATCTGGAGAGACATCCTCACGCGATATAGCGATGCTCCACACAGCAGATTTTATGCTAAAAAATTTCAAAAAGTCTTGAATAGTCTTGCCATTGTTCAAGAAATTTAACATAGATTTTTAAAATGCTACTTTATATTTGCATTTCAGCGCGTGCACTATTCCCATATCCACAGGACGTACAATTTGGAGGGAAGAATAATACGGATACATTATCTTTCACTAAAACTTTAAGTGAAATATGCGCCGAACAGTTGTCAACAATCAGGACTATTTTTCAGTCTGCAACATTAACTGAAATGCCTTAGAATCAGTAAAGATATTTTTAGCCTAGCTTATACTGTCCGTTATACATTAAACGTGCACGCGTAAAGCATACAAAAAAAAAGTTTGTGGCTTTGAGGTCCGGATTATAGATCATTCTGGATAATGGACGTCTGGATTACAGACTTTGTACTGTATTAAAATAGAAGCCAATAAAATACTTATTAAAAAAGTTATTACTCATCGATACATAGTCTTATACAGCATATAGAGTGTCAAAACTATACCAAGTTAGAAAGTCTAAAAACTAATCACAAGTAGCTTTGCAGAAAAATAAAAGAATTTTCGTTTGCAAAACAGAAATAAAATAACATACAACTGACCTGCCAAAAAAAAAATGTTGCAGCCATATTGTCTTCTGTTAATTCAATTTCTTTACTAAGGGTAAAAAGCCATTTTCGAATTAATAAACAAGTTGACGTGGCTGTACTGTAGTTCTGAATGTAGAGATTATGTGGATATTCATTTAATTGCAATTTCCTCTCTGAAAAATAAGCAATTATAAATACACACTAATGACAACCAGTTATTGACAAGTAAACAAAATTTAAGTACAGTACACTCACCAAAACCATACTCCACGATTTCAAAAAGGGCAAAAAATTTAGAGACTTCTTTAGACATACCAATCTTTTCAATAACAGCCTAAAAAGAATTTTATCTGCAATTAGAGATGAGCATATAATATCTTATATTCATTATACATTCTTAACTACCTATGATCTTTATAGTGACAAATGATTGTCAATCACACATTAGAGTATGTTATGTATAAACGCATACAATTGCAATTATTAGAATTAAGATAGACATTTCCTCAAAAGAATTATTCCTGGTGAATATTTTTATTAGAAATCAAATTGTAGGCTTTATTAGAAAACAGGATAATAGCATCTGTGTGCAGGGTACAGAAAATAAAATTATAAAACCTGAGAGCACATTTTATCCTTGTAAGAGTTTGGCACTTTTATATTATTCATATTAGTAAGACTAATATCTATATTCATTTAATGAGTTAAAAAATTTTACTTTTGTATGCTTTCTTTCTAACTTTTCAGATAAATTAATTATCTATTAAAAAAGATAAAATATAGCCTGAGTTCTAAATATATGTACAATATAAATACTACACGACTAATATATACAAAACTAAATTTTAAAACACAAATACAAAACCAACAAAGAATCAATGAATGAAAGACCATAAACAAATTCTAAACACTGCCTGCAAGACAAGTAATGAAAAACAGAATTTTTTCCATATTTACAAGAAAATAAAAGCACTACTTATACTTTTTTACCCATCATCAAATCTGTACTGATATTTACACATTTTTATCACACAAAATGAAGATTTTTTTAGCCTTGAAGAAGCCCAAACTATAATTCTCTGACTCTTGAAATAGAACAAGCTTTAGCTTTATTTCTGAACAATTACTTGCAGTACAATCTTTTAAACACTCAGTATTCGAATGCTCTTACTTCATATACATAATGATTTTGAAACAATTCTATGCTGATTGCTAATTGTTATAACAATAAACAAAAAGTATAAAACTCCGGATTCTATGACTTATTGCAAAGGCAATACTATTTTTAGAAGAAACAACAGCTATTCCAGTAGTAAAAAAGAAAAATAAATCAGCAACAGGCATACTGAATACTGCTAATAGAATACCTTGGCACTTACTAAATAGCACAATGAATAGCAGTAACTTGCACTGGAAAAAATTTAATGTATCTGATGATCCAGTTTGCATCTAATGAATGAATTAAATGACTTAAGCTTATTGTAGTCCCTATATATTGCTCCTCATGTTAGCTACATGTAAAAACTAAACAATTTGTTTTATATAGAAATCCTCATAAGCTGACTTTTAATTCAGATTTGCATCTAATAAAAATAGTTTGTAATTATAACACAAAATAAAACTCAAAAGAAATGCTTCATTCTCTACATGAGGGGAAGATTGAGTACATTACTAAAAGTCTAAATATAAGTTTATATACGATAGGAATTTACTTGTCTAAATGCAATAATTATTATTTTTACTGATTACAGTATTATTAATTAAAATATGGAAAAACTGTTGATTTACACGAAATATACATGTTTATTTATATTAAAAACATTTCATTATTTTTAAAACAGGTAAAAATCTGATAGTGGTTCTTGAATATTTCTGAATTCTGATATTGACAGCTCTAGTTAACATAAAATTTGGGTTTCCCTTTTGCAGCCCAGTCATAAATTTTCTTTTTGAAGGCATTGTCTTATCAGTCACATTAAAAATTATAAACAAAGTTTTACAGTACAAAAGAAGTATATACAGTACAAAGTCTTTAATCTGGACGTCCATAATCCGGAATGATCTATAATCCGGACCTCAAAGCTACAAACTTTCTGCGCTTGCGTAAACGCATTTGCGCGTTTAATGTATAACGGACGCTATAAGCTAGGCTAAAATTATCTAATTATCTATTTCAGTTAATGTTGCAGATTGCGTTGTTCCTTAACCTTCTAATTGGATCCGGCCTATTATTTTTTGCAGACTGTAAGAGCAATTTTATAAAAAGTAAGCTTGAACTTTCAATTATGTCAAAAAGAGTCTCCGATTCTGGAGCTGCCAAAGGATATACACAAAGCGAAAGCATGTTTCGATGTCCCTCAAACAAAAAGTAGAATTGCTGCAAAAAATTGATAAAGGTATATCCTTTGTTTCTCTAACCATTCCGAAATCTGTTTATCAATTTCCTGCTGCTCTGCCGGGGGGGACGTCGCGGTGTGCAATGAACTGGAAGTTGATCTGTCAGCACTATCCTCATCTGCAGGACAGATGTTTTTTTATTTTATTCAGCTTATAATAGTATTTCATCTTGATGTACTCCATCTTTGATATGATTTAAATCAAATGCCATCATAAATATCAGGAATACACATCAAATAGTTTTCTGGTTGCAATTTTCTAATTTCGACTATGTGTAATGTATGCTTTACGCATGCGCGTGTTGAAAGAAATGTTAATAAAATAAACAAATAAATATTAAGCTTTTTTTTTTTTTTTTTTTTTTTTGTGTAAATTTTGATACCCTTTAGATCATAATTGCTCTTTATTTTTTAAATTACAGTTTCATATTTTTAATTTTATAATTTCTGCATGCCATCTGACCAGATTTAAATTGATGATCTCTAATCCAGAATCGCCGAATTCCCGACAAGTCCGAATTAAAGACTTTGTAATATATTTATTAATATGGCAAAATTTTTTATTAATATATTTTTGTTATATGTTGCAATTATTATATTTCCAATTTGCTTATACAGCAAAATCTAACCTAATCTTAATGTTATATATGTTGTGAAGCATACAATGAAAACAAATGCCTCTGAAACAAACACATTTATTCTATTCATAATATTTCAAATGAATATGCATGTTAAAATTCTTGAAATAATGTCTGAATTGAGGAAAACCTACCTAGTTATTAATACTCGCATTGCAACACTGTTATTAATATACTCAACCCCCTGAGAGCCATGGCCGGCTTTACCTGATTATGAGATTTTTTGTTACTTGGTATATACTAGCTTATAATTTAAGATATTTTACTTTCTTACTTTCATTAATAATATAAATGTCATCTTAACGAATGTAAGTTTATGAAAATAGACTCTAAAATAGGTAAATATACAAATTTTCCTAATAAAGGCTCTTTAGATATAGGTCTTCAAGGCAAATCCAAAATCCCGGGTCGTTCAGAGGGTTAAGACTGTAATTTGATTAGAAACATTTAACACATTTTGTTTTTTATTTCCATAAGTTTTCTAGAATAACAGTATTACATAGCCACAGGATTTAGTACAATAGAGTTTCGCTCATCTGACATACCACTACAAAAAAAAAAAAGAGCATTGATAAACATCAAGAGCTGCAAGTGGTGAATGCAGTTCTTTTTTATTTCTCCCAGTTCTACTGCATGGCGCGTCTGTTATTTAGTGCAGTTTCTCACTGTATGTGGATAGGTTTATCATCTATTATACTGTCAATGCATATGTATCTGTGTTGTGTATTAATTTGACAAACATTGTTGTAATGTTCAAAAGCTTATTCCAGTACATAAATAATGGCGATAAAAAGAAAAAAAGTTTCACCAATGAAACAAAAACTTGAGGCAATCAAGAGATTGAACAAGAGTGAGACAATGCAGAATGTAGCTGATGACTTCATTGTACAGATAACAGCAAGAAACTGGAATGATTAGAAACAGAAAAATGAGGGGCATAGTTACAGAATAGGCATTAAAGAAAGAAAAAATGTGGACATGAAAAAAATGAGTGAAGCTTTGTATGTATGGTTTACACATATAAGAGATAAAAGTGTATCTATTTTGGAACCTATTTTATATCAGAAGATGCTGCATTTTGGTAATGATTTCAATGAAGAGGGCCCAGATTTTACAGCAAGAATCAGCTGGCTCAACCAGTACAAGAAACGCCATGTTATCCATCAGTTAAGAGCTTGCAGTGAAAAACTATAATCAGATTTTGAAGAAACGAAAACATTTCATGAATTAATTCCCTCTTCAGTCTCAGATTTAATGACTCCCACTGATTTTGTGTTACGAACTCATACACAGCTTACTGTTGCAAAACTTAAATAAATAACCATGAACAAATTAATCCATTTCCTGTTGGGAAAACTGTTTAGTTTATGAACAATTCTGCTGATGGACCACCTTCAGGAATGAATTAAATTTACGAATCCAGGTTTCATTTTCAAACATTTAAAATTACATAAGCCAGCCTATGTTGCAACTCAACTCTTGATGAGATCCGATGGCTGAGTGATGTCATCTTGAACAAAAAAAAAAAAAAAAAAAAAAAAAAAGAATGCAAATGAAAATGAAAGCTTTAAAATAACTTTGAGTTGGTGCAGTCGATTTATGAACTCTCGCTTAGAGATCACGAGAACTCGGAACAGAGAAGTCGCAAGCTGCGTCATGCGAAAATTAAAACCTTTTTCATTATGTAAATATTCTGTAATCGTTTGCGTCTTCATTAAATATATTTGTGTAAAAAAAGTATTTATCATTTATGGATTACTCCCTTCAAGATTTTGCAGATAGAGATGCACAGAAGAAATCAGTTTAACCCTATGGCCCTGGCAGAACCCATTGGAACAAGGTAAGCAGTTTTGTTTTACCTTGATTAATTAGTTAGAAGTAATGATAATGATAAGGATATAAACATTAATAGCCTATTTACGATCAAAATGTCATTTACTTTGTAATATTTTACACAGGTTTTATTTCAGAATTTGCCTTTGTTGTTAAAATGTTTTGCAAACTTGAGTAGTTTGATTATAACTTTTAAAATGTCAAGATTTCTTTTAGTTTTAAGACTTCTATGTCAGAAATATTAAAAACAATTATTTATTCCTATTATAAAATACACAATTTTTATAATAACTTACTCACAATATTTTAAGATACATGTACCGGTAATAAACACTGATCAAAATGCCAAGATTTTCTAGCTTACAATTACTTATTTCAAAACATTTTTAAAAATATATTTAAGTTATAACATAAAATAGTGAAAATAATTATAAACTAGAATTTATTTCTAAATACTAGATATAAATTTTGTCTTCTACAGTTGCACACAGAAAAGAAAGGGCAAACCCTTCCCCCCCCCCACGTACAAAGTTTGTCAATATTGTCAATACACTCAATTTCACCAAGCATATACAAGATTTAAAAATAAATATACTATATATTTCGACATATAATGCACACCAGCGTATATACAACTATAATTTAATTTAAAAATTTGTAGGTATATTTGCTGTATAATGCGCATCCTTTTCTTTACAAAGATGCACGTGCAATGCTCTTATCTTTTGAAGACATTCATCTGAAGACTTTTTCCTAGGCTTTCGAAAAATAGCATACTGAACTGGCAAATGATAAGGAGAACATGTGTATGAGGGAAATGCTTGAGGAAGCAAATTATTCTGCAAAGTGTGTGGGTTATATTCAATGCAGGTGTGAACAAGAATGTTATTTTAGGGCTTCAAGAAAAGGGAAAGATGATTTGGGGAAAAAAATCCACTTTCAACCCCAATGAATTAGTGGAATTTTGAGTCAAACATTTTCTATCTCTGTAGTCATTTGAAGTCGCAATTTTTAAGAAAACATCGAAAGCTTATGCAAATCGCATTTACTGAAGTTGAAATGTAGTTGACCTAGTGTTCCTTTTATCAGTAAATATGGCTCTTGCCAAACTAAATAAACACAGTGATGGTTTCAGAGTCATTCAATAAACAAAAGAAAAATGAACTAGTGCTGCAGCGACAATTTTTGATATTGGTAAAGCTCCATACATGAGTGGAAGAAAAACAAAATCACAGATCACAATAAATAATCACATAAATTGCACAAAAAAAAAAAAAAAAGAATGAAAATGAAAATGAAAGCTTTAAAATAACTTTGAGTTGGTGCAGTCGATTTATGGCATGGAATAATTTAGTTCAACAAGAAAAAAAAGTTTTGCAAAGGATTCTGAAAGATTTGGACAAAAAAAAATTTATAAGTTTCAAGAAGTATGATAGTGACCTATGAAGGCAAAAAAAAAAAAAAAAAAAAAAAAAAAAAAAAAAAAAATTTACTGTCACATATTGGAAACACGTATGAAACACCAACAATATTCGATATGATACAAAATAAAACAATTGAATAATGTTTGACCCGATATGAAATAAAACAACCATTGTGAAAGGAATGAAAACAGTTTACATAAAAACGACAGGTCATGAAAAATCTTACCTCACCATAGTGCTTTCCTTCTTAGCTGATGGAACAAAATTAAAACCAATGGTTAATTTTAAAAGACAGACAATGCTGAAATGTAATTTCTCAAGTGGTGTTTTCATTCATATTCATGAAAAAAAAATGGATAGACAAAAACAGCTTGAAATTTAGAAGAATACCAAGAAATTATATACTGTTTACCAAGAAATTCTTGGCAAAAGTGCTCTGTTACCTCAAAGAATCCAGAAAGTCTTTTAGTTTGGGACTTGTTCAGATCCCATCTAACAAAATGTAATACAGACATGGTAGTTATTCCAATCGGATTTATGCCATTAGTTCAGCCTTTCGATTTTTGCATCAATAAAACATTCAAAGGAAATTTAACGATAATGGAATACGTGGATGTTAGAGAGTGAAAAAAAATTTCAAAAAGGAAGTTAGATGCATCATGCCAATCAAGAAATAGTGTGTGAGTATATAATAAAGTACAGAATAAAATTACACCAGACATAATTCAAAAGTCATTTAAAATATGTAGCGTATCTAGTAATCTAAATTGAAGAGAAGATGGTTATTTATTTATGGATCAGAGTAGCAAGGGTGACGAAGATGAAACAGAATTCAACGATGCGTCTGAAAATATAATGGAAGATAAATATGATGAACTTTTCATGTTATCCGATAATGAAAAACTTTCTTTTTAAATAAACAGCATTTAGGTAGATGTAGAAATTAATTTTTGTATACTCTGTGAGGTTTATTTAATTCACATAACCAGTTATTTTATGTTTTGAATCTTTACTGTCACTTCTCTTTCCATAACAAAACATATACAAGGTGTGTCTGTTAAATTCCAGGACTGAGGCTAATACAATGGAATGAATAATAGAAAACAAACATACATTTAATAGCCTTCAAAATAATCATCTCTGGCAATCACACACTTTTGTGCATGGCAGTACAAATTCTGGAAATGCACTTCATAGTCCTCTGAAGATATGCTTCGAAGTTGAACAGTTACACTTTTCTTTATGTCATCTACGTCCTGAAATCAATGCCCTTTCAGAGCAGTCTTTAAGTTTTAGGAACAAGTAAAAGTCAGGAGGTGACAAGTCAGGAGAATACAGAGGATAATCAACCTCTACAATGTCACATTTTGTCAAAAAGTGCTTCACACTGAGACATTGGGGACCTTGCATTGTCATGCAGTAGGAGCCAGCTGACTTAATCCATATTCAGCCATACACGGTGTACTCGTTTAAGTAATCAATGCAAAACAGCTTCGTAGTACTCTTTATTGACAGTTTGATTAGATAGCACAAACTTGTGATGGAACAGTCCTGTGCATCACAGAAAGCGATCAACAGGACTTTCGACTTCTAGAAATGGAATTTTTTCTGTCGTGGAGAACATAGTGATCTCCATTCGGCACTCTTGTCTTTTTGTTTCAGGATCGTACTAGTAAAACCAGGATTTGTTGCCTGTCACTTCGACTGCAGAAATGACGGATCTTGGTCAGCTGCATCGATTAAGTAATCACAAGCTTCCATTCTACATTGTTTCTGATTGTCTGTCAAAAAATGGGGCACAGACCATGAACAAATCTTTCTCTTTCCCAAATTCTCCCTCAAAATCTTGTGCACCATGTCCTTGCACATATTTAACTCGCAAGCATCCTAAGGGTCTTTCAGCAATCTGCAGTCACCAAAGCGCTGACTTTTGCAACCTCATGTTCTTTTCATTTTGTGATGAAACTTGATATTCACTTTTTGCACCATCACCAACCATGACATGCGCTCTAATGAACCACCTGCATTTACCTTCTTCAAACCGGAAATGCTGATGCAATCACTACGCATTTGTTACAAACAAGCTGTGACAGTTGTTACAGATACCATGAGAATAGCATGAATATTAGAGACAAGACTGGACACAAATTTATGGTACAGAAACAAGTCGGATATTCTCTGACCAATGATAACTGAAATTCCATGTCAACATATTAACCCTCTGACTGTTCAATTTATGGATCAAAATCGCTTCCATAATGGTGATTTTTTTTTTCCATATATTAAATCTATCTATATTAGAGAATTGAAAAACGCACTTTCTTTTTCTAGAAAATATTTTTAATATAGATTTTTATCATGAAAAACTAAGTTGCCAGAAAAACTGATTTCAGATGTTATCACAAAAAAAAAAAAAAAAACTTTTTTTAAATTAATTTCAGTCGAATTACAGTTAACTTCTATATTGCATAATATAAAAAAGTAAAATGTATAAAATTTAAGAAAATATAAGGCGCTGAGGGAAAAATATCTTAGAAATGCAGTTTAGTATGATACAGTTCAAAACAGGGTTAAAGGCAAAGTCCAACTTCACAGTTTTTGCACCAGATTCAATAAATCTAATTAATAATCAATCTAATTATTAATATACTTAATAATTCAATAATTTAATTAAATAATTAGGATAATCGCTCTAGCAGCCATTTCTGTAAGAAAAAAGCGACAAAATGTGAAGTTTGAGCGCTAATACCACGTGTCTTCAAATGCCGCAATGTAGTGGACAACTAATGATATCTGTTGGCCAAAACGTAAACTAAACGCCTAACACTGTATATAATTTATTTCAATCATTAAATGGAGAAAACAAGGGATGCACTCCTCAATAAAGGAAGAAAAACATATGCCCACAGAAATTGCAGGATAAGCAAATTTTGCTACATTTGAGTTGCCCGTGGAAATTGTGGGATGATTAGCCAGAGGGTTAACAACCATTTGAGTGTCTATATTTTGGTTATATTACTGATTGTTGTATAAACTGTCTTTCTACACTTGGTAGGAAATTTACGAAACTTAAGACATTTTTTCTTTTAAAATGGTCAACAGATATGGGAGTACAATTAAATTTTAAAGACTTAAAAGTTGACACAAAGAATTATTTTTATTCCATACTTGATAAACTTCTTCTGTAGTACTATTTTTTCTAACATTAACAGTGACAGTTGAATGATCAGGCAGCAATATTTTAAGATCAACAGCAGCAGAACTTCCACCCTAAAAAACATAAAAAATTAATCTTTAAAAATAATACAGTATGAATGATTTTCACTCATTATATTACATCAGAAATATTAAATATTATAATATTCATTGGTCAAATGATTGGCAGAATAACTACTAGAAAAAAATACAGTGATGATGATTTGCTCCACCATTTCATGACTAAGATAAGCTGGTAGGTAACTTCATGAAGGAATTTTAAAATCAAATAAGAAAACAATGATAAAAGTAAATTCGAAAATAATTTTCATTTACAAAAACAGCCTCATCTAATCATAATTTGACCATAAAACTTACATTTTCATCATCCATATCAGTCAGGAATTCTTGCATTATGTCATTTTCAGCAATCACACGAACAGCACATACTGAAATGGATAAAGAAAGCGGTTATATTTCTTAGTAAAAAGTATAAATATTCTTGGATATATGTAAACCATTTTGGTTATAAATGCAAATAAAAAACATTTTAGGTAAAAATAAGGGTGAAAAAGAAATTTTGATTAATTAGAAATGCATTTTAGCAATTAACATTTGTGATACATTTGTGATACCACATTTGTGATACCCGATAATTATACCTTTCTCGAAATCAGAAAGCTTCGAACTGCGAGGCATCTTGCATGCGACTAAAGCCAATGCTGTTTCCTACACGACATATTTCCGCGGAGATCATGACGTACCTTAGGACCGAAGATATCATCTTTTGCATAGGTGTCCAAATACTTATTGGTAGTCAGTGTATAAACATGGGAAGAAAAATGCAATGTTTAAAGCAGATATACACAAGACCAGAAGATGGCACACCAAAAGTATGAAACAACTGTCTAAATTATAAACACTTGTATTCTATGAGGGGGAAGAAGGTCCAGTCAACAGTAACATATACACTGACTACCAATAAGTATTTGGACACCTGTGGTAGAAAAGAAAAACTAACTTTATTCAAAATCAACAGTTGGTAGAGCCTCCACGAGAGGTAATTACAGCGTAACCCTCCGGGCATACTTTCCACAAGTCTTTGTATGACAGCTAGTGGTATTTTCTTCCACTCGACTTGGAGAAGATATAGAAGTTCATTCACCGATTTTGCATGGGTAGTGCACCCCTGAATTCGGCAATGCAACTCGTCCCATAGGTTCTCGATAGGGTTCAAGTCTGGACTCTGGGCAGGCCAGTCCATTCGATGAACTCCATTGGCCCCATACCACGCCTTGGTTAATGTCGAAACATGACAACTGGCATTGTCGTGCTGAAAGTAACAGGGGTCCAACTCGTAAAACTGCCACAACGTAGGAAGCACATTGTCATCCAAAATAGTGCAGTAGGCATTGGAGTTGAGCTTACCATGAATGGGGACAATGAACATGTTTGGTCACTTCACTTTGCTTAAACATACAAAAACAAATTATTCAGTCTGTGTAATGAGATGACTGTGTAAGATATGATGGCTCCTCATAAGCAGTACATTCACTTTTCTGTTTAAATATTTTCTATTTTTATTTGAAAAGAGACATGCAGGCATTTTCAATTTAAATCAATTTTTATATAAGCATCATTTAATATATAGAATATATCTTAATTATCAATATTCCTCCAGCAATTTATTTATTATTTTAAGGTAAAAAAAAATCACTTAAGACTTCACTTAAAAATGTTTTGCTTTTTGTGTTATAACTACTGATACTTTAATACCTTTTTGTTTGATCAAACGTACTGCATATATTTCATATGAATTTATAACTATTATATTGAATAAAACTTAGAAGTAGAAATAATTAGTTCATTTTTAATTCTATCCCATCTGCAATGTACAGGAATTAACTTTTGAAAGATTTGAATTTAGCAATGTTGTTAGCACTGGTTTCAACCATGGCTTTGACATTCATTTATGAAACCTAATTAAGTTCTTTTAATCATATGGCATACCTTAATAAAAAACAATTATTAAGTAAAAGACAGTGTTGGAAGTTAAATAAACTTTCAGCAAAACAATCAAAAGACAAACTGGAGAATATGGTGCGGGATGACTCAATAAACATACTTATTTTCAGCACAGAAGCAGCTCTATGAAGTCACTATTGACCAGCAGAGGGATTATCATGCATACACTGCAACTGGAATAATGGTTTCCAAATTAATAATTTATGATTAAAAATCGCCTGCTTAATTCAAAGCCATTTTAAAGTCTGCCATATGTTTAAACTGCAGAATTGTTTTGATACTTCAGCTCATTACATAAACTGAATGTCAACTAATCTAAATGCCTTTTAATGCCTAAACCCTATATATTTACTAGCAACAGCTTGGAGGCCCATGCTTAAAGAAAGTGAACTAGAAGATAATCGAGTGAGCTGAGGAAACCTACACTGCCACTGATGCGTTCACCTGGCTGATCGTCTTTCCCGATGAAAGAGTAGTGCTGAAGCTTAGCTTCTTCTTGCATTGGTTTTAATGCAGTTTAGATCATCTAAATCTCAATGATTGATATAGTGACTTAGAAGAACTAAACACTAGCTGAAATTATACTCCATATATTTACTAGGAAAGCCACAGCTTGGCAGCATGTGCTTAAAAAAGGTGAACTAGAAGGACAGTCAAGGTGAGGTGAGAAAACTGCCACTGATGCATTTACCTAGCTATCGTTCCTGATAAAATAGTGCAGAAGCTTAACTTCTTGCATTGGTCTTAACATAATTTCTTGAACTAGCAAACATACAGGATGATGTAGACTGACCATATGTTTCATGTTAATGAGATTCTGGTAGAAACTACAGCAATTCTATGAAATGAGGATGGCCATTATGTTTGCTCTTTTGGTGGGATTTAAGTGGAAGTATATGTGATACCCAGTTCCTCTTCTATGTCTATCTCAGAATCTAAATTATTTGGGTTTCTACAATGATCTAAATTTTTCATTTTCTCTTTATTACTTTTAGTTTGATTCTTCGAAAATTTTTAATGTGCTGGCATAAGATAAATTTTTACATTGCATGTCTGTTAGTAATTTTCTTGTTTTGCAATCTGAAATATTTTTAGTTACTTTTATTATCTGTACCTCTTTTTGATTTCCATTTAGGATACTGTCGATAAAAGGTTGTGTGCTCCCCTTTGCAATATGAACATAATAGATTGGCATTGCAGATGTCACTGTTGTGACCTTCCACAGAGCAATGTGCACATACGAGTTTCCCATAAAAGGATATTTTGGTGTGGCGAAAGTACTGGCAAAGCATCACAAAGGGTTTGGTATGCAAGGTCTTACGAGGTAAGATGAGTTAAGGATCTGGTTTTAATACTCTTTGGCAGATCAGACAAACTGAAAGTCAGAATTATATGTTTAGTATTAATCAACCAACCTTCTTTGTACATCTTGATCTGGCTTGCTGTGCAGACATCCTGGTCAGACAACTCAGAGACAATACAAAGAAGATGTAAATTTCTGAGATTACATCTCAGCAATAATTTAGAGTTTTATGTGCTGATACACTTATATCGACTTCTCCAAACTTTTTAAATTCCAGAAGCAGTTTCAATGAGGAGGTTTCCAGATCACAGCCGTTTGATATATTTTGGTTCACTAATAGAGAACTTGATATATTTTCGTAATAGAAAAGGGAATAGTTTTTTAAGGTCATTTTTAAATATAATCAAGGCTATTTTTAAATAAGCAATAAGGCTTATTTTTAAATTAAAAGAACACAGAGAAATTTATTAGTAAAAACAAAAAGCATCATCAGTTAAATTCAACAATAGATAGAATAACTCTGATGTTAAAATAAAGTAAAACATTAATTGGAATTTTATGGTTGAGCCCAACTCAAACAGCATCTGCAACAATATGAAAATAAGCATACAGGACGGTAAATATTCAAATTTTAAACTCATATTGCTGTTATAATAGAAAACGAAAGATATATATCAGCATTTAACTTGATGTATGCCAATTTCAATTTAAAGATTTTTTTTTCCAATTTAAAAGCCTTTCATTCTATGTTAACACATTTTAAAAGCCCATTTTACTCTGATTTCATGCCCACTTTTTCAAAAAAGTGAAGATTTCAATTCTCAGAAGTACAACTTATTATAATATTGCATAAAAGTTGGATTTTAAGATGGTGTTTATTTAAATGCCCTAGTAAAATTTTTAAAACGCTAGAAGTAAAACTTCGTTTCTACAGTTTCAAAACTAAAACTGAATTTTTTTTTTATTTTGGGAAAAATTTAAATCAATTCTATAATAATGAAATATAAAGTATTTCAAACTCTTATTAAACATTAAAAAACTTTATACACAGCATTTATTATAAAAAAAAAAAAAAAGAAGAAGAAGAAGAAGAGATGCCTCAATTAGAAATTTCTGACTAAGAGGAAAAAAACATAATATCCTTTACTAATTAAAAAAAGTAAAATTTCAAACTAGATACTTTTTCCCAAAAATAATGAATATGTATCAATAGCATGTAGCCAAAATTATACTGAAAATGAGTAACTATAAAAATACACAAACCTTTTTCTAAATACTGCTCCAAACCTCTCCTTCTGGCATCTAACTGTTGATCAGATAAAGTAAAGGGCCATTTACCAGGTAATTTTGGAAAGTTAAAGTCTGGAAATTCTTTTTTTAGATTCATATGAAGGTTGGCAAATTCACGATACCGTCTAGAACATAAATGTCGGCCAGCCATATAAATATTAAAAACCTAAAGGAAAAAAGAAAAATCTTTAGTGGCTTTGAATAATAAGATATACCAATGAGTTCATAAGCAAAGCCAGTTCATCAAGCAGAATATTTATAAACATTTTAGAACTAACTGAAAATCATTACAGGTGAATTTTTTACTAGATATATCAGTTTTATCACACAGAAAACTAACATTTTTAACAAAACTATCACATATATAAAAAAAGGAATAATATGAGTACACATAATTTATAGCTATATACAAATACTCATTTGGGATGACAAGAAAAGAACAAACTTGGAAGGAGTTATCCAACTCAAATAATAATAGGAATATACAATATACATGAATAAGAAATTTTATGACCATGACCCAAAAGGAACAAGACTACATAATACCGAGGGGGAGGGGCTATAAAATCAGAAAAGGATTGGATTGAATTATTCAATTATGGAAAAGCACACAAGGGCTGTTTGCCTAGAGGAAGATATGCCTTTGTGGAGGACTTTCTAAGAGAAACTGGCTCGTATACACATTACACACGAGGAAAACCACGAAAATGCCCATGCAGCCAGCCCCTTTGCAGGATTCAAACCTCGGACCGAACTACCAGTGTTGAAGCACTTTTACCGCTCGGCCGCTGGTGGCCTAAGCAGAAAAGGTAAGTATATTGCAAAAACTATCTGTGATTAAAATAAAGAAGTTCTAAATGTACTATAAAGTGCCAGTATGAACCAAATGGCTAGTCATTTTGTTAAGAAGCACTTCATAGTATTGCTTTCAGTTTGGATATAAGTGTTTATTTAGTATTATAAAAAACACAAGTACATCAATGATAGTTTTTCCAGATGATCATCAATGATTCCAGATCAATCATAGTCATACCAGAACTTTATAGTTTTTTCCAAACTATAAAGTTCTGGTACAAACTACCGACATTCTAAAATAGGCATATGTATGTTCAAGCATGACAAATATGACTGGTAAGAAGAAGACTAGGCTAGTTAAAGGAGTATATTAAAATTATGAATACAATCCTACATGAAGAGCAGTATGCGCGACTAGGCACAGTCTTGTCAAAAATTGCTTCTGAATCCTGAAATAAGAACAACAGCAAAACTATTCTTAGAATCCCATCTTTATAAAGAGCAAAAGTGACATTTATATGAAAGAGTAACAAGGATATTTGGCTATCATAGGAAAAGTTTTTACAGTCATTTACTTTCAGTGTAACAGGTGTTTGATTTTGAACAATAAAGACATGATGTATGCCACACAATCTCCAAGATCAACTGTAATTCTACAATGAAGATCATATTCCAAGATCAACTGTAACTCAACAATGTAGATAATATAACTAGCTGGACATTATCTACATTGAATAATTCAGACAACAGATACTAACAACACTCATAGATCACTGGTAAATAACAAAATGGCTTCATGAAATGCTGGGCCATTTTGCATGTAATTTCAAATGAAAATAAACTTACCAGCACAAACTATTATATTGCCAAGAAAAACGAAAAATGCATACTGGATGGCTGGGAATCATCTCCTTGAATTTTAAACGTGCCTGTGCCATAGGATTCCAGGAGAAACCTTAGTTATCATTTATCTGCATATACATCAGCACTCTCTTTTAAAGTAAACAAGAATCGTGAAATCTGTGAATTTTTCAATTTACATAAGTTATTACTATTCGATGTCTATCCCACTGCTTTTTGAATTTACACGTTTAACATGCATTAAAGAATTTATTTATTCACAGCTTTTCAAATGTTAATTTGCAACTTAAATGCACTTTGTAGCTGATTTGTTTATATCCTATGCAACAAGCAAGCATGCATCATCAAGCATCAATGTTGAAAAATAACAGATTCTCAATAAAACCCATGTAGAGATTTTTCTAGCATTAAAAATGGAAAATGTGCTTATAAAGTCATAAAAAAGAGTCTTCTTTTAATAAATTAAAAATTATATTTCTGGTAGTTTTTATGGTGTTATTAAACTAAATGTAGATATGTAGAATGAATGTACTAGCTGAAATAGCATGCATTCATTTTTGAGAAAACATTATTTTAGTGTATTTTATAACCATCTATTTATTTTTTTCTTTCATTTAATAGCACAAAACTTACTTTGAAAATAATTAATTTCAAGTAATTTTAGGCACAAATCTTAGTAACTTTTTTTGGTGAATATATAATTTTTTTACATAAAACTATTTTATACACTTTTAAAAGAATTCTTTACTTTTTCAAAAAGGTTTTCTGTTTTATTTCTAAACTATGTTTTCCTCTCATACTGTTTTTATTTTATCTATCATCATATTTTAAAAATGTAATAGTTTTATGCTCATTAAATCTCACTTAAATAATTCTTCAGCTATTAGTTTGTTTTAATGAGTTAATTATGTTAAATATTCCATATTTAATGCAAAAATTATAAAGCAAAAAGTGTATAAATAAAACAGAGAAAGATATCACGTATAATTGGCAAAATTCTCTAATATGGACAAGTTTTAGCATCAAGAGATTTTAGAATATTTGTGTTAACTTACAATAGGATTCACTTGTAAAAGGCTTACAAAAGTGCTTTCATAAAGGGAAAAGAATCTGTGTCTAAGCACCTGCTTCTTCATACCCTTTAACATACAGAATTAACATTAAACTTATTCATTCTGCTTATTCACTCTGCTTCTGTAATAGCCTGCTTTTAATCACCAAATGCATTGACGGGGAGGGAAAGTATGTTTCTATGAAAACTACTTATATTCTTCAACATACAAGTGAATCCTATTGTAAGTTAACACAAATATTCTAAAATCTCTTGATGCTAAAACTTATTCACTCTGCTTCTGTAATAGCCTGCAACGTTGTAAAGAGTTTGTCACTAGATATTTTAAAATTGATGCAAGAAATTCTTTATATTTTTCCTTAAGAACATTACTGAGACTGGTCACAAATGCATGGCTTACCTGCTTAAAATGCACATACTAATTCCTACTTTTAATCACCAAATGCATTGACGGGGAGGGAAAGTATGTTTCTATGAAAACTACTTATATTCTTCAACATACATATTGTCAAACCATTCTTATATTGCTCGTTTCATGAATAAGGTGTTGTTTCTTATAGTGGTCTGCTTGTTTTCAATGAACTGTTACAATAACATTAAAAACATCACAGCATTTCTAAGCATTTTTACCCTTGTTTTCCTCTCGTACTGTTTTTACCCTTGGAACTATACTCATACCTAATGAATCTCTATATAAAACCAGCATTCATTAACATACATGACTTATATATTTATTGCTATTTTCACAGAATCCAGAGGAGTAATTCACAAGGAATACAAGTCTTCAAACCCTAAGGAATAATTAACGGAACACATGGTTTCCAGGGAAGTCAGGCTGAGAAAGTCTGATATAGAATATCAATCTGCTCTCATCTACCAAATCAAAACTTACACATCAGATAGCCAGCTAATAAAGTAGGATTCATTTTCCCACTAAAATGTTTCCATTGTTCTATACAAACATAACAGACATTATATTGCTCTATCCTCTAAATCTTCAGCTGCATAATTAATAAAATCCCAACTTTTTTTAGTTTTTAAACAATACTTGTAACTCTGTTTTGACCTACAGAATACTGACAGCAGAGAAATGTATTTTTAAGAATCGTGTGTTTAAGTCACTTAAAATCTGCCTTATTTTAGACTGTTTATCAGTTCTTATTTGAACATGCTCCTAATGCTTTCATTTTACAATAACACGATTTATTGTAAAGTGAGCTAGACAAATGCAGCTGTTGAAAAAAATTTTGTGAATTGGTTTGTTTCACAGGTGTTGATTGATTATAGATTTTCACAGGTGTTGATCACAGGTATTGATTGATAGTCATAATAAAAGCAAGAAATCTTTTTTTTTTTTTTTTTTTTTTTTTTTTGGCACCTATCTTACTTTTAGCATATGTTTATGATGGTGACCTCCCTGTTCTCTCTACTCAGGACTGTTCAAGACAGATAATTCAAGCCAAAACAAAGTGGTGGCCAGTTTATGATAGACACAAAAAGAAGTATTCTATTAATGTATCTAAGAATGTCAGGAGTGCATATATAGGTATGTACGTAAGTTTCCAATGGATGTTATGTACATAAAAAGTAACTCAATAATAGATTTTTATATTTCATACAAAACAGGACTATAAACATTTTCTATGAACTTTTTGAGCAAAGGATTTTAATTATTACTTTGAGAATAACATACCACAAACTTTTCTCCTTTCTCTACCCAGTTGTAATCAGGAATTGATATAGGCAAAGAACGTTTTTCACTGTAATCGATATACGAATAGCCAGAAGAATCATCACTTGGTTCCAATCGTTCAGCTTCCTGTCAACATATAAAAAAGTAGAAATAAAATGGCATCTGGAATAGAGAAAATGATTTTTTTTATATATAAAAATAAAGAATTTAACAATCATATAGTCACAGAATAAAACAATAAATACAATAAAAATTTTAAAATTGTAGTTTTGTATTTATTTATTTTATTCTGCTTATTTCATTTACTTATAACTTTTTTTTAATCTTAAAATGGTTGTAAGAAATAAAACTGGTTTTATTACTAACTTATAAATATTGATATAAAATTATAAACTTGTACAAAAAATATGCTAGATACTCAATCTGTCTTGCTGTGAAAACTACTTATATTCAATTCAAATTATTTTCTGCTTGAAAAACAACCATTTCATAATATTTTTCTTTTATTAACCAGCCATGTGTATGAAACGAAAGACATCTGTAATCACAAGCATATTTGATAACAAATTCTGACAGACTTCAGTATTTTGGATCCCAAGAATAATGAAACAATTTCTGTATTTCATCCATATATCAATCTGTGACAATTTATAATGAAGAATTTGAAAAATTCTGCTTTTTTATACTTACACTCATTTGTAGTCAAAAGAATATTACAAATATGAATTAATTGTTTAAATTTTCATACTTACGTTAATCCACACAAAAAGCTTTGAAATACAAAATAAGAAAAGGACCATAACAGAAGAAGTAATATGAAACAGATCAAAATGCTTAAAAAGAAAAAAATGTGTGTGGTACAGATGGACTCAGTTGATAAATGTTTATTAATGCTTAATAATTACATGAATTTATTTTCTTAACTTTACAACTCATTGCTTTACAAAGTTTGAAATGTGGGAAAGTTTATTGAAGAATAAAACAATAAAATATATCCACCTTCATTTAATCTTTATCTATATTATTTATTTACTATAATTTCATTTAATCTTATCGGCAAGTCTCAAAATGTATAACACAACTTTAGAGTTGGATTTATGCTCCTCTTTTCAGTTCTACCATGCAATTCATACCAGAGTTTCACGCTTTTGGCAGTTTGATTCGTTAGAAAATCGGAGGCTTACCAGTATTAAAATAATGTAGTTATAAAAATTCATTTATAATAAAAAATAATAAAGGCTTAAATAAAAGTTGGCAATTAGCAATACTGTGACCCTAGCCCATGAGCACCCATGCACTAAATTTTCGGCACTAGTCACTAATGTTTTGCTGTTTTGTTTAATATTTCTGTGACCTGTGAGAAGGCTTAAAAGTTTACATCACATTATTCAGATACTATACTTAATCATAAAATAATTTACTATTTTGACAATACATCCAAGTTATTTATATAAATATGCATCACGGCCTATTTTAACTCTGAAGATACTGGCAAGAATAATGAATTAAATCAAACAATTTTTCTATAACATTCTAGATTCTTATCTTCATTTATGATTATGAAAGTCAACGGAACACATCAACAGCTTGAACAAATGTTAAAGGAATTATTGTTTCATTCACAGGACATGTGACATTTTCAAATTTATAATTAGCATCAAATTTTACCACAAAATAATTATTAGATAGTCAGAAAGGGAATTATAAATTCACTGAACAATTATTACATTGCTCTGGAAGTTCTCGATGGAAAAACCTTAGAATAAGTTCTATGTATTTATTTGTTAATTTGACAAAGCACACTCTTTTATCTTCTGCCGTAATGTAGAAAACATTATCATGATCTGTATGTTATTAAAAAAGTAATGCTGAATAACATATATAGTATGCTTTAATCAGTTACACAATATATTGCTCTTTGGAAGATTAAAATGAATTCTGTACAATATAACATGAAATTTTCAAATATATTTCAATAAAGAAATAGCCCATTTGTAGCAATTTATAAATATTATAAACTTTTTGATTACCTGAGGAGTTACAGAAATTATAGTTAATGTTAATTTATCTCCACCAGATTTGATCAAGTCAACAACTTGTTTGTGTGTAGCTCCTTCAACATTGATACCATTTCTGTAGATAGAAAATATATATAGACTTTGCAAACAAAATTTACTGTAACTCAAATACTTCACAAATACATATTAAGAAAATGTATAAAATTATAAAAATCAAATGATGGGCACAATAGTTTATCATTTTCAATATTCATTTATGAAGCTATTACAAAATATACATTCTAAAAAGAAGCCCAAGTATTTAAATTATATTCCTCTATAGCTTTCCTTTTTGAGAAATATTTTTGAGCTAATTAGTTCCCCAAAATAAATGTAAAACATATACAGTAAAATAATCATTACACGAGAGAAAATTCGGTGTAGCACAAGAGTGTCTGGGTCTATGACCCTACCCTTAATAAAAAAATACTGTAGTTTACAAAAGATACAGCAAAACAACTAGAAATATCAAAAACAATTAATTAGAGCAATGTATATAAATATTTACATGGCTTAGTATTTTTTAAATTTTTTAATTTTTATAAGAGATTTTTCAAAGTTTTGAATGAATTAAGTTAATAATAAAATAGGTCATGCAAAGATCTTAAAAATTATGATAATACCGTCTGGAAAGCTAAAAGGGCCGTCAAGCTGGTGATAACCTGTCAAAAATTACATACATACATATAAATAAATAATCCAAGTGCGAATCTGATGATGCACTATGGTAATTAATAGTGAAAATACAGAATACATATACAGTACAAAGTCCAAAATCCGGATGTCCATTATCCGGAATGATCTAAAATCCGGACCTCAAAACCACCAACAATGTTTTTCTAGTAGACTTACACATGCACATTTGATTCCCCCTGGTATCCCCATTTGATTCCGCACTAGGTCGAGAATTCAGGACCCACAGAGACTGCATCAGGCGGTAAGATATCTAGCACTTTTCCTCAATAAGGCTTAAGTCTATGTGGGCTGAAAAGCCTTAAGCATGTGTAAGAAATAGACATAAGTATAATAAATAACTAAACTAATACAATTCAGGCTTAATTGTCTCAGTGCGTGATAGAAGCAAGACAAAATTTAACTGAGCAACTTGTTGTTACTCGCCAAGCTCATGATGCATAGCCAAATATGTATAGTGAATGATAGCTAAATTTGATGATGATAGGCGTGAATTTTAAAGGTTTTTGGATATCACAAAACAAAGGTGAAATTTTCCAATTAACTGATTTTTTAAAGATGTAAGGATTATGCTAATTTTATTTACAGTTAAATTTTGAGTTAAAGTTCCTTTCCTATCGATTTTTAACTTACACTTCCAGCCAGAATGTAGTTTTAGAATCCTGTCTGAATACATAATGAGGAAGAGCGGTATTTAACCACTAAAGTTCTTCAGTCTTAGTGAGAGAGATACCAGCTATTCTGGCTGCTGCACACGTCTGCCTTTTTAGGCTACTCTCTCATAAGCTATTATTACTCTTGGCCAGACTTTAGGCCCTTGACAGCTTCGCAGTCTATTAACATTAAGGGGCCAACTCTGTTAGAATCTTGACAGCTACGGCTATATCTCATAGTTAAGATTAGTTTAGTATTATTCTTAGTCTCTTAAGTTCAAGCCAAAGTGTCAGCTTTATTGTACACTCCAAGACGGAGTTTTGTTAAATCTTAGTTGGAATAATAAAAAGTTAGTTTACTCTTCTATCTTGTTGTTTCCTGTCACATGAACTCTAGCAATTATTCAACTATCAGTTTTTAAGATTCTTTACTTCCAACAGTAACTGAGAAATTACAAAGTAAGGAACTCTACAGTTGGTGCCCGAAAAGTTTGCAAAAGACCATGTCTTTAGAGATCGGGAAATTTACGTTGACCCCCTCCAACCTTTTAGGTCCCTCAGACGGCCGCGAATCCAATAGAAGGATTTGGATTCATCGTGGAAACGATGCTCGCTGCGATGAAGCCAGCTGCAACATTTGATGGCAAAGGCTCAGTTATGACCTTCCTGGAACAACTGCACCTGCATTTTACTTTATACCCAGTAAACCAGCTGCAAAAAATCACCACTACTACAAAAAACCTACGAGGTCAAGCTCTCAGTTGGTATATAGGAATTGGAAAGTTTTGTTGGGGGACCTAGGTTCAGAATTGTACAGCTGGGAAAATTTCAAGTCTGCACTGATTAAAGCATTTCCAGTTGTTAAAGACCGTGCAAAGCTAGTGTCAGAATTTTTTAGTAAATATCAAAGCAATTTCGATGAGTTGACGGAATTTATTCTAAGAAAAATCTAAATTTTCAATTTATTATACGGGAAGAGGCCCGATACTGAACTTATCGAAGTAATTCTACTGCGTCTACTACCGTCAGCTCAAAATTTCCTCGAAGTCCGTAACTAGCAAACATTAGAAGTTCTATTTCAGCTCAAGGTAAAATTCCAAAGCAGAAGGAACTCGGAGAAAGCACATGCAAATCAGTTTGGCCAATACTCAAGGTTTACTCCTCAAAAAAAAAAAAAAAAAAAAAAAAAAAAAAAAACCCGCAAGTTCAGCACAATGAGCATCGGCAGACAGGAAAAAGTAAAACGTCCAATAACAAGAGCTTGGATAAATCTAAGGGTGGCAGATACAAAAGGTAGCGTAAAGAGGCAGCGGAGAACCAGAATTTAAATGCAAACCGGTGATCGAAAAGGGGCAATGGTTGTCAAGTGGAAAGAAAAGCCCCCTCAAAAATTAGTCTTAATACAGTGGTGATGTAAAATCTAGTCATGCCTGAGATATATATTCTTGTAAATAATGTGCCTACTACTGTCCTCCTGGACACCGGGGCTCAGAGTTCATTTCTCTCAGAAGATTCTTGTTCTGCCAAGTAGTAAATCGTACTACTGATACAGGGAATGCCCCTCCAGTCCAGGCACAAACTTATCATTATGATAAAGAACAGATTCTGGAACATCATATAAAAACAATGTTAAAAATAAAATCATCGTGTCAAGCATTAGTCCATACGCAAGTCCAGTGGTCCTTTGCAGGAAGAAAAATGGGCTACTGCTCGAGCAACCGGACGCATATAGGTTTGCAGTTGATTATCACAAACTTAATAGTATAACGAAGTATCTTAAGTATTTCCTACCAATAATTAGGAAAATTCGTTTGATTAAGTTTATGAAAACCTTAGACTTAACGTCTGGTTACTGTCAAAATCGCCGTAAAACCTGAAGATGTTGAAAAGACTGCGTTCATTACAAAGTCGGGTGTCTATGCCTTCTTAAGAATGCTGTTTGGTTTAAGCGGAGCACCAGCTACTTTTCAAAAAGCAATGGACATAGTTTTAAGGCCAGTTGGGGTAAAAGTACAATTATTTATCTCGATGATATAATATTAACCAGAGAAACAATAGACGACCATGTGAAACACTTGGAAGTAGTTTTTAATTTGCTCAACTAGGCCGGTTTTAAAATAAATGCAAGAAAGTGCAAGTTTGCGACCAAGCAATTGTGGTACCTTGGCTACAAGATTTCGAATAAGGGCATAGAGACAGATAATTCCAAATTATTAGCGATTAAAAGTTATCCTCCCCCAAACATGACTAAGAAATGATCTTCATCTTTGGGCTTATGTTCCTATTACAGAATGTTCATTAAAAACTTCGCTAAAATTGTGGAGCTTCTTCTAGTGCTGAAAAGAAAAAAAACTAGATTTTCTTGGACAGCCGAGATGAACACCGCTTTTGAACAACTAAAGAACGCCCTAATTAATGTCCCAGTACTTAAATTCCCAGAAAGCGAACAAGGTCTAGAGATTGCTGCAGATGCATCCAATTATGCAATTGGAGCGGTGCTTTTCCAGAATGGGCAACCTATAGCCTTCTTTTCGAAAACTCTGAATTCTACCCAAAGGAACAATTCAGCAATAGAGTGAGAAACACTCGCTGTTTTGTTAGAGGTTCAGAAATTTCGTGCTTACTTCGGAAGTTCTCCGATAACAGTATACTTGGACCATGCGGCAGTGGGTCGCTTGTATTCAGGGAAAAATTTATCACCTCGACTGATACTGTGAACATTAAAGTTACAAGAATTCAATTTAATTATAAAACACATGTTGCGAAAAGAGAATTTAGTTGCCGATGACCTTTCAAGAATAAAAATAGATGAGGAGGGAAATACAGTTAAGTGTGCTATGCTCACCTCAAAAGTTATTGAGTCCTATGAAACAAAAGTTGAGGAATTAAGAAGAGATCCGGAATTCAAAGATATTTACGCATATCTTGAAGACCCTGAAAAGTTTGAACATATATATTTAACAGCTATTCGCAATAGGGCACAGCATTACGAAATAATCGACAAATTTTTATTCTATACCAAAGTAACAAATAATTATCAGGGATACCGACTAGTAATCTCAGTGAGTCTACGTTTAAATATTTTAGAATTCCATGATCTGCCATCCACTGGTCATTTCGGAATTCGAAAAACCGTACAGAGGGTACGCGAAGCGGTTTATTTTCCGCAGTTACAAAGAATAGTTACGCCGTATGTTAAGTTGTGACATTTGTGAAAGCTACTAAATGATGTTAATTACAGCCCGGCCAGGTATTTAAAAAACACAAAGACCACTTTCCCAAATGAAATGGTTGCCATAGATTTGCTTGGGCCCTACCCTAGGACAGAAATAAATAAAAATAGATATTTGTTAACAATTATAGACCATTTTTCAAAATGGGTATAAATAGTCCCTCTTAAAGGAGCTTCAGCTAATATAGTCGCAGATTCATTTTTAAATAAGTGTATTTTAAATATGGGGCTCCACTAAAAGTAATATCAGATAACAGAAAACAGTTTGTTAGCAGTATATTTAAAAATTTGTGCACAGCACTTGGCATGCACCATCTAAAAATGGTACCATATAGATCGTAACTGAATATTGTGGAATGTGTAAATAAGAATATTGTAAAAATTATCAGGGGATATGTTAAGAATTTTCATGACCGCTGTGTCAATGAGTTAGGTTTTGCCTTGAGAACAGCAAAGCCTGATACTACACAGAAGAACCCTGCAGAGTTATTTTTAGGA